TTATGGTGGAAAATAAGTATTTGGTCACCTACAAACAAGCAAGATTTCTGGCTCTCACAGACCTGTAACCTCTTCTTTAAGAGGCTCCTCTGTCCTCCACTCGTTACCTGTATTAATGGCACCTGTTTGAACTTGTTATCAGTATAAAAGACACCTGTCCACAACCTCAAACAGTCACACTCCAAACTCCACTATGGCCAAGACCAAAGAGCTGTCAAAGGACACCAGAAACAAAATTGTAGACCTGCACCAGGCTGGGAAGACTGAATCTGAAATAGGTAAGCAGCTTGGTTTGAAGAAATCAACTGTGGGAGCAATTATTAGGAAATGGAAGACATACAAAACCACTGATAATCTCCCTCGATCTGGGGCTCCACGCAAGATCTCACCCCGTGGGGTCAAAATGATCACAAGAACGGTGAGCAAAAATCCCAGAACCACACGGGGGGACCTAGTGAATGACCTGCAGAGAGCTGGGACCAAAGTAACAAAGCCTACCATCAGTAACACACTACGCCGCCATGGACTCAAATCCTGCAGTGCCAGACGTGTCCCCCTGCTTAAGCCAGTACATGTCCAGGCCCGTCTGAAGTTTGCTAGAGTGCATTTAGATGATCCAGAAGCGGATTGGGAGAATGTCATATGGTCAGATGAAACCAAAATATAACTTTTTGGTAAAAACTCAACTCGTCGTGTTTGGAGGACAAAGAATGCTGAGTTGCATCCAAAGAACACCATACCTACTGTGAAGCATGGGGGTGGAAACATCATGCTTTGGGGCTGTTTTTCTGCAAAGGGACCAGGACAACTGATCCGTGTAAAGGAAAGAATGAATGGGGCCATGTATCGTGAGATTTTGAGTGAAAACCTCCTTCCATCAGCAAGGGCATTGAAGATGAAACGTGGCTGGGTCTTTCAGCATGACAATGATCCCAAACACACCGCCCGGGCAACGAAGGAGTGGCTTCGTAAGAAGCATTTCAAGGTCCTGGAGTGGCCTAGCCAGTCTCCAGATCTCAACCCCATAGAAAATCTTTCGAGGGAGTTGAAAGTCCGTGTTGCCCAGCGACAGCCCCAAAACATCACTGCTCTAGAGGAGATCTGCATAGAGGAATGGGCCAAAATACCAGCAACAGTGTGTGAAAACCTTGTGAAGACTTACAGAAAACGTTTGACCTGTGTCATTGCCAACAAAGGGTATATAACAAAGTATTGAGAAACTTTTGTTATTGACCAAATACTTATTTTCCACCATAGTTTGCAAATAAATTAATAAAAAATCCTACAATGTGATTTTCTGGATTTTTTTCTCTCATTTTGTCTGTCATAGTTGACGTGTACCTATGATGAAAATTACAGACCTCTCTCATATTTTTAAGTGGGAGAACTTGCACAATTGGTGGCTGACTAAATACTTTTTTCCCCCACTGTACTTCTTCAAATAAACCAAAATGATTTGAAAGTACAGTGAGGGAAAAAAGTATTTGATCCCCTGCTGATTTTGTACGTTTGCCCACTGACAAAGACATGATCAGTCTATAATTTTAATGTTAGGTTTATTTGAACAGTGAGAGACAGAATAACAACAAAAAAATCCAGAAAAACGTATGTCAAAAATGTTATAAATTGATTTGCATTTTAATGAGGGAAATAAGTATTTGACCCCTCTGCAAAACATTACTTAGTACTTGGTGGCAAAACCCTTGTTGGCAATCACAGATGTCAGACGTTTCTTGTAGTTGGCCACCAGGTTTGCACACATCTCAGGAGGGATTTTGTCCCACTCCTCTTTGCAGATCTTCTCCAAGTCATTAAGGTTTCGAGCCTGACGTTTGGCAACTCGAACCTTCAGCTCCCTCCACAGATTTTCTATGCGATTAAGGTCTGAAGACTGGCTAGGCCACTCCAGGACCTTAATGTGCTTCTTCTTGAGCCACTCCTTTGTTGCCTTGGAGGTTCTCACCCAAGGAGGTTCTCACCCAAGATTTGATGGTACATGGCCCTGTCCATCGTCCCTTTGATGCGGTGAAGTTGTCCTGTCCCCTTAGCAGAAAAACACCCTCAAAGCATAATGTTTCCACCTCCATGTTTGACGGTGGGGATGGTGTTCTTGGGGTCATAGGCAGCATTCCTCCTCCTCCAAACACGGCGAGTTGAGTTGATGGCAAAGAGCTTGATTTTGGTCTCATCTGACCACAACACTTTCACCCAGTTCTCCTCTGAATCATTCAGATGTTCATTGGCAAACTTCAGACGGGCATGTATATGTGCTTTCTTGAGCAGGGGGACCTTGCGGGCGCTGCAGGATTTCAGTCCTTCACGGCGTAGTGTGTTGCCAATTGTTTTCTTGGTGAATATGGTCCCAGCTGCCTTGAGATCATTGACAAGATCCTCACGTGTAATTCTGGGCTGATTCCTCACCGTTTTCATGATCATTGCAACTCCACGAGGTGAGATCTTGCATGGAGCCCCAGGCCGAGGGAGATTGACAGGTCTTTTGTGTTTCTTCCATTTGCGAATAATCGCACCAACTGTTGTCACTTTCTCACCAAGCTGCTTGGCGATGGTCTTGTAGCCCATTCCAGCCTTGTGTAGGTCTACAATCTTGTCCCTGACATCCTTGGAGAGCTCTTTGGTCTTGGCCATGGTGGAGAGTTTGGAATCTGATTGATTGATTGCTTCTGTGGACAGGTGTCTTTTATACAGGTAACAAGCTGAGATTAGGAGCACTCCCTTTAAGAGTGTGCTCCTAATCTCAGCTCGTTACCTGTATAAAAGACACCTGGGAGCCAGAAATCTTTCTGATTGAGAGGGGGTCAAATAATTATTTCCCTCATTAAAATGCCTATCAATTTATAACATTTTTGACATGCGTTTTTCTGGATTTTTTTGTTGTTATTCTGTCTCTCACTGTTCAAATAAACCTACCATTAAAATTATAGACTGATCATGTCTTTGTCAGTGGGTAAACGTACAAAATCAGAAGGGGATCAAATACTTTTTTCCCTCACTGTACACCTAGTTGTTTGATTTGACAAACTATTGCCACAGTCACATGCTATTGTTCTCTTAATTAAAATGTGGTGTATTCAAGATGTATTGTAACTGTATGACCATTCCATAGTGAGTTGGTAACATTTGACTGGAATGTGGTTTACCTTTGATCAAATGTATTGTATTCATGATCAAGCAAAATAAGGACAAAGAACAAGTCTTTGTGGCTAGTCATTCATCTTTAGCGATCTAGGTAGCTCTAGCAATTCAATTGCATTTTGCTATGGCCCTTTTTGGATGCTTTAAAAAGGCATACCTTCATCCTTCATTTAAAAAGGGGTTATATGGAATGATTGGCTCTGGGGTGCACTCGAGTCAAATGGTGTCCCCTGAATTGGCAGAAATATTGCCTGTGTAATTCGAACCGTGCCCATAAATGATCTCATTGGACAGAAAGGGGCACATCTCCCGACACCTATGAGCAAAAGCATATTGTAGGCTAAAACTAAGGATTGTTTGGTTTCATGAGTTAAGAAATTGTAATGTGTGGCTCATTTGGTAGAGCATGGCGCTTGCAATGCCAGGGTTGTGGGTTCGATTCCCACAGGGGACCAGTACGTAAAAGTATGAAAAACGTATGCAATCACCACTGTAAGTCGCTCTGGATAAGACGCTCTTATTGGCAAGACTCAAGCTGAAATTTGAGGTAAACAATTAGCAACTACATTTCCATACAGCCTCTTTAAGATGTCACTGATAGAGCAAGGTCTCCAGTACACAACCCGATCAGCTTCAGTCATGTCAGATCAGTGACCACTTCGAGGAAGGAAGGAATCATTCAAAAAATATTTAACAGGGCCTTTGCATTCAGGGCGGTAGCCAGCTCTTCACTAGTTTCATAGTGGACTTACAGCGTAGTGGTAGAAACACTTTTATTCCCTTGTTTAAAGAAGTAAATCGTAATTTTCTTTACATACTCATTGGCAGAAATGAATCAGAACATACAAGTATTAACACGAACATAAGAACAATCACTTCTTGTGTTTCTTGAATGCTTGAAAAGTACCTCTTTGGTGTGGATGGGTACCTTAAATCAGGGTTTCCCAAACTCGGTCCTGGGCCCCCCACATTTTGGTTTTCGCCCTAGCATTACACATCTGATTCAAATAACTAATCATTAAGATTGGATTATTTGAATCAGCTGTGTAGTGCTAGGGCAAAAACCAAAACGTGCACCCAGGACCGGGTTTGGGAAACCCAGCCTTAAATCACGGTACTCTGGTCGATCTACTGGCACAAAAAAAACGCTCGCATCGGATTGAGTCTCTACACAAAGCCTTAAACACCATTTAACAACATGATTTCCCAAATCCCTTTTTCGATCTGAGTGAGGTGGATTGAACGGCAGACATTTGTTATGGGGGAGTTGAATGGGTTTGCAACACTGTGATAGCTTGAGTCCTCTCTGGTCAATATGGGCCACTCTAGTAGATTGTTTAGCCCATATACAGTGAGTTAAAACACTATTAAGTTTGTGGATTTCTCCTGGAGTCTGTTCAAACTGGTCTACAGTCTTTATCTTCCCGTCATCCAGCGTGCATTGGACTTGTGTGGTCCTGGTTCATCATGGTTCAAGCTGTATGTGCATGGGTAGGCTACCGAGCTCATAGACAAGTAATGCTGCAATCAATTCACTTTTAAAAAATTACCAAGCCAAATAAACATTGGACGATGACAAACAACATTCTGTACATACACACACAACAAAACAAACAAACATACAAACAGTAAGATACCCCACCCCGAAAGGGTTTTTATAGGGAATCTCCAATGGTCTGCACTTGAATGAAAAAGGACAATCATCTTTCGTTTAAGTATTTTTTTTTTTTTTATAAGGGCACATGATTATTTTTCCAGGTAGCTAAGAACCTACACTGGCATTGTCTTTTTCTTCTTCTCAAAGTCAACATCACAATTAATTTTGTTTTTGTTCAAGTCTAAAGTTTTTAGTGTTCGCTCATTTCCCCCACCCCCCAAATCACATACACAAGTCTTTTTAAGAGGGGTTGGCATTCTCCAGCAGGGGCGGGCCGTCCCGATGCACTAGGGATGGGTGTGACACCGACTCCCTTTTGTACGTTTTGGGGGGGAGCTTGGGGATGACTTGAGCGGTGGCGCTGCTGGTGCTCTGGCGGGGGGGCACAGGGGGCCCAGATGCACCCCCCGGAGAGAGGAGGGCTGAGTCGCCGTAGCAGTCTGGGCCGCCGGGCCCCAGCAGTGGCAAGGGCGGGGAGGGCAGGTGCTTGCGCGGCCCCAGCGAGGGCGAGGGAGTGGGGGGGCGGCGGCGGGGTGAGCGGGCCGAACGGCGAGGGGGGGAAGAAGGTCTGGCTCAGCGTGGGTTCGCTGCTGCGGACGCGGCCCTGCGGGGGTGGCTGCAGGTGCAGGGGGCTGTTGGAGCTGGAGAAGACGTCCGGCGTTCTCACGGGCTCCCGCGGCGGCAGGGTGGGTGGGCTGTCAGGCGGCTCCGACACGGAGGTGCGCTCGGTCGAGAGCGAGTAGCGCGGCGAGTAGACCTTGGTGGTGGTGGGCTGCCGCGGGGGGATGGCGGGGGGGCTGTCCAAGTGCTTTGACATCATCTGGAATGTGAGAGACGTGCAGGTGGAAAAGGAGAAAGGAGGAGAAGCACAAACGTTATGGAGAGTGAGGGAGTATGACTCGACAAACTCTCGGAAATGTCATCCAAATCTCCAGAAATTACTCACAGTGGAACTTAGCTGTGTTTCATTGGATATTTAGCATTCCACATCTACACTCTTGAATCAATCAATCAATCAATCAATCAATCAATCAATCAATCAATCAATCGAGAATCATCCTAATGGTACAGTACAGTCTCAGAAAAACTTTAGGTCGCAAACAGGTAAAAATAGAGTCACCTTCGAAGGGGAAGATTCAGTGGGGGCGGATTCGGGGCGTCTACGAGGGGGCACAGGTGGGGGGACGGTGGCGTCTTCAGTGCTCCTGTGGAGACTCACCATGGAGGAAACCGAGGAGGACCCTGGAATAGAAGGAAATGAGGTTAACTCAAACTAAGCCTTACAAGAAGACAGTAATCACACATATTTAACCCTAATTCCCCAAATCCATCCCATACAGGACTCTACAACTCAGGGATGGGCAACTGAGTGTCTGGGGTTCTCTATTTTGCCTGGCACTTGACTGTTTCCTAGGTCTTAATCATACACTGACTTCAAAGGATGAAAATATCTGCAGACATTCAGGCCCACGAAGAATGGAGTAAAAACAAGCATTGAAAACTTGGAAAATGAAAAACTAGAGAAAGAGGATGATGAATGGATGGGTAATAGACACTCTACTTTCGGGAACGGTATACAAAGACACCACTAAAGTATTATGTTCGAGGAAGCAATCACGTTGACCAACTTCAATAATGCATATTACTACGGTTTCTACTACATACAACTACTACTAACTATATACCACAGAGTGATGTTGTACAAGGATGCTTAGAGCAACACCTCACAATGACAATGAATTCAGGACAGGAGAACAGGAGGGGGTGACACTGATCTAAGGTCAGTTTAGCTGGCCAGTATACTGGTTAGAGTCAGGATTCAAAGCGGGGTAAACTGATCCTAGATCTGTATCTGTGGGCAACGACTACTTGGAGCTACGAAACACACACAGACGACAGAGAGTTTTTTGCCATGGAGACAGGCGCAATGGTGGGCGGAGATGGGAGTAATGAGGTGGATGTCAGTTGCATGCGGGTAGGGAGAGGCAAGTTGGGCTTGGGAGGGTCAGAATGAGTGAGAGGCGGGGGGCGGGTTGATGTAGTAGCTTGGATGGGGTGTGGGTGGAGGGGTGGTGAGGGGACACTGACAACAGGAAGGCTTTGAGAGGGTCATACTAACGTGGGCCGTGTGGTAAGGAGACCGGGGCAAAGATGCTGTCGCAGTCTGGACGGAGGGAGAGGCCGAAGGAGAGAAAAGAGAAGAGAAGAGAAGAGAGAGAAAAGGCCCTGAGAGGAGGAGAGACTGAGGCGGATGGACTAGTTTCATTTCGGACCACCCAACCTATCACCCATTAACCCCTTTATGTGTTCACTGTTCACAATTCTGAAAGGACTGCGGGTGTCATCACCTCCCCACACACACCTTGTTATAACGGAGTTCTGAAAATGGGAAAGTTACTGATATAATGCGAGTTACAGGGTAATGTAGAATGGGTTAGTTCAGAGTTAGTATCTTCAGGGCAAGTGGTTGTGTTGTGTTGTATTCCGTTGGCTGTGCTCAGAACGGATAAAATCGGAATACTAGCATTATCCATGTCGGCGTCAAACATTTCACAGCGATAACACTCAATTGCACTCTGACTGGTCTTGCATGCATTGTTCCTTCCTCCCTTCCTTGGAGTAATCACTGATCTGACATGACTGGATCGGTGAAAGCTAAGAAGTTGAACACTTTGCATTAAACCTATCTAACCACTTATCATCTTAGATCAGTGATTACTCCAAGGAGGGGAGGAAGGAAGCATTTTGACAGTTTTTAAACAGGGCGATTTCCTTTAGGTACTCCCTTAAATTCAAAATCTCAAACTGTGTTTAACAAACTCTCAAACACTTCCTCATAAGCTCTGACTGCGCTCCTCCCAACCTCCCCTCTGATCCCCACCCAACCCGCTCCCCCGTCCGGCTCGAAGGACCACCTACTTGAGTGGAAGGGGCTGGAGGGGCCCTGGGGCGAGTCGAACACGCTGCCAATGTCCGTGGAGCTGGAGGCAGCCGAGGCCGGCGGCGGCGTGAGGGGAGTGCGCGGCGAGTTGGGCGCCGAGGCGGCGCTCTCCATCTCGCTGTCAGGGATGCGGCTGTAGCTGATCTTGCGCGGCTCATTCTGCAGTGGCGTCGGATGGCGCATGGTGCCCGGGCGCACCGAGGACGGTCGCACGCCGGGCGACTTGAGGGGGCAGTTGTACTTCTTGGGCTGGAAAGAGAAAGGGAGAGAGGGGGGGGGGAAGAGAGGTGAAGGAGGAGTCAGGGCAACACTTCTACAATGTTTATCAGGGCTACTCAACTACAGACCCTCAGCCCTCAAGTACTGCTGGTTCTTTTCTATCTGGTAGCTAATTGATCAATTAAATGTCAGAGATTGAGGGACTATCTGGTTGGTGAGGTACCTACAGGTAACGGCCAAAATAAACAAACACCAACATAAAGTGTCTTAATAGGGTGTGGAGCCACCAAAGGCAGTCAGAACAGCTTCAATATGCCTTGGCATAGATTCTGCAAGTGTTTAGAACTTTTTGGAGGGATGTGACACCATTCTTCCATGAGAAATTCCATAATTTGGTGCCGTTCCAGAATCTCTCATAAGTGTTCAATTGGGTTGAGATCTGGTGACTGACACACACACACACACTCCCTTTATACACTCTATGCACCTTTGAGACACCTCTTTCAAAGTCACTGAGATCTCTTCTTCTAGCCATGGTAGCCAAAATAATGGGCAACTGGGCATTTTTATACATGACCCTAAGCATGATGGGATGTTAATTGCTTAATTAGCTCAGGAACACCTGTGTGGAAGCAACTGCTTTCAATATACCTTATTTCCCTCATTTACTCAAGTGTTTCCTTTATTTTGGCAGTTACCTGAAATTGTTATAGGTATCAATTCTGCTGACAAATTTTCAGTCTTTTTTCTACCTTAATAGCAGGGGCGTTGCGTCCATATAGAGCGCTCGGACGCCGCCCCACCTGGCAGCAATGAGATAAAAATGGATTTACAAAAAAGTAATATAATTATAAAATATTGTAATAATATCAAGTTTATGTGTATATAAATAGCTGCATTTAGATTACAAAATTGAAAAAGTGCCGAAAATCGGCAACGTAGTTCCAGCATTTCAGAGCGCTTCTCAAGCAGCCTCATTCAATGCAATTCAAAGTAATACCCCCTGCGGTTAGCATAGGATTTTAGCCGCTCTTATTAAACCTATCCAGAGCCCCTGGTTTGCAGTTATAACTCTGAACACCAGATGGCGATGATCGACAAAACGCTGCACTGTTGTCAGGTATGAAGTGAGCGCAGACACAGAAGATGACACTGTCAAACAGCTGTTCCAGCAAAGTTCAAACGAACCATGATGTTAGCTAAAATTAAACTACTACAAGTTTTTGTCTGTTATTGTATTCCCACGTGCTTGTAAGTCCAGCAAATAAGTTGAACATTTGCAGAAGCCTACTTATTCCATTTGGAAATGTGGACTTAATTAAGTGTTATTTGTCAGCTACTTATTGCCAGTTTGCAAAGTGTTGACAACAGCCCCACCTTTTGGTACACATGTGGTACATATGTGCTTGTCTAGTCTGTGCCATTATATGTGTCTGAGTTAGCTTTCCATATTTTTCTTGTGGATTTCTATTATTGCATCAGTCAGTGTGTGTGCACATGTATTGTGCGTGTCTGAGTTAGCTTTGTATCTTCTTGGGTAAAGAGAACCAGGTGTGTTGGAAATGTCATGAGACATCACTGCTTAAGAGTATACATGGAGCCACACATGCTTAAGCGTGGCTCAGTGTGGTCCAGTGCCGCTCAGTTGGTAGAGCATGGCGCTTGCAACGTCAGGGTTGTGGGATCGATTCCCACGGGGAGCCAGTATGAAAATGTATGAACTCACTACTGTAACTCACTCTGGATAAGAGAGTCTGCTAAATTATGAAAATATACAAAAATGAATAATGGACAAATAGTACTTTTCATCTTAACTCATGAAGTTCCAATGTCATTCTAACAAAGGTTTGAAATACAACAACTAATCAAGCTGCATAAGGAGTCCGAGAGAGGATAATCATGTGAACCGTAAGGAGAGGAACAAGACACTTACAAATCGAGGCAACGACCGGGCATTCCGAGGCTCGATCTCCAGCGACTTGTTGAACAGATAGTCAGCAAACTCCTTCTCTGCCTTGTCCTCCATTGGATTGAGGTTTTCAAAGAACTTCTGTGTTACACAAAGCAGAGCAAGAGGGAGTCGTCAGAAAGACATATACAGTGGGGGAAAAAAATATTTAGTCAGCCACCAATTGTGCAAGTTCTCCCACTTAAAAAGATGAGAGACGCCTGTAATTTTCATCATAGGTACACAGACAAAATGAGATTTTTTTTTCTCCAGAAAATCACATTGTAGGATTTTTTATGAATTTATTTGCAAATTATGGTGGAAAATAAGTATTTGGTCAATAACAAAAGTTTCTCAATACTTTGTTATATACCCTTTGTTGGCAATGACACAGGTCAAACATTTTCTGTAAGTCTTCACAAGGTTTTCACACACTGTTGCTGGTATTTTGGCCCATTCCTCCATGCAGATCTCCTCTAGAGCAGTGATGTTTTGGGGCTATCGCTGGGCAACACAGACTTTCAACTCCCTCCAAAGATTTTCTATGGGGTTGAGATCTGGAGACTGGCTAGGCCACTCCAGGACCTTGAAATGCTTCTTACGAAGCCACTCCTTCGTTGCCCGGGCGGTGTGTTTGGGATCATTGTCATGCTGAAAGACCCAGCCACATTTCATCTTCAATGCCCTTGCTGATGGAAGGAGGTTTTCACTCAAAATCTCACGATACATGGCCCCATTCATTCTTTCCTTTACACGGCTCAGTCGTCCTGGTCCCTTTGCAGAAAAACAGCCCCAAAGTATGATGTTTCCAACCCCATGCTTCACAGTAGGTATGGTGTACTTTGGATGCAACTCAGCATTCTTTGTCCTCCAAACACGACGAGTTGAGTTTTGACCAAAAAGTTCTATTTTGGTTTCATCTGACCATATGACATTCTCCCAATCCTCTTCTGGATCATCCAAATGCACTCTAGCAAACTTCAGACGGGCCTGGACATGTACTGGCTTAAGCAGGGGGACACGTCTGGCACTACAGGATTTGAGTCCCTGGCGGCGTAGTGTGTTACTGATGGTAGGCTTTGTTACTTTGGTCCCAGCTCTCTGCAGGTCATTCACTAGGTCCCCCCGTGTGGTTCTGGGATTTTTGCTCACTGTTCTTGTGATCATTTTGACCCCACGGGGTGAGATCTTGCGTGGAGCCCCAGATCGAGGGAGATTATCAGTGGTCTTGTATGTCTTCCATTTCCTAATAATTGCTCCCACAGTTGATTTCTTCAAACCAAGCTGCTTACCTATTGTAGATTCAGTCTTCCCAACCTGGTGCAGGTCTACAATTTTGTTTCTGGTGTCCTTTGACAGCTCTTTGGTCTTGGCCATAGTGGAGTTTGGAGTGTGACTATTTGAGGTTGTGGACAGGTGTCTTTTATACTGATAACAAGTTCAAACAGGTGCCATTAATACAGGTAACGAGTGGAGGACAGAGGAGCCTCTTAAAGAAGAAGTTACAGGTCTGTGAGAGCCAGAAATCTTGCTTGTTTGTAGGTGACCAAATACTTATTTTTCACCATAATTTGCAAATAAATTCATTAAAAATCCTACAATGTGATTTTCTGGAATTTCTTTTCTCAATTTGTCTGTCATAGTTGACGTGTACCTATGATGAAAATTACAGGCTTCTCTCATCTTTTTAAGTGGGAGAACTTGCACAATTGGTGGCTGACTAAATACTTTTTTTCCCCACTGTACATTGTTGTCCTAATGACGATAGACAAGGGTGTGGGTGATTGGGGACAATGGATAAACAACCAAATAGTACATGTCGGGAGCGGGGTGGCAGTAACTCTCTACGAAGTGGTGAATCCTAACTTCCACTCGTCTAATTTTCACTTAGTCATGCATTGATGTCAATGAGACTAAAGTTGAAGCTAGGAAGCATCACTAAATGTATATCTAATAAAAAACTAAGAGGTTGCTATGACTTATGACTTGGCAAACTATTAACTGTACATGGTAATTGTAGAGATGAAATCATGAAAGGAAACAAGCGAAATTATGTTTCATATGACTTATATTACTTCCTTGTGTTACTCATATTTACACCCATTCATATTCCACGTAACTAAATGGTATTTGTGAAAGGTCGATGGGTCGGACCATGCTGCAAAGCCAGAAGTATGATGCTTTCTCCAAACATGTTGACTATGCAGGCTGGCCATATAGTGGGAACCAACTTCAACTGAACGTGCGACATCACTGTTTTCGCTCCTCACCCGGATATCGCTCTCCACCCGTAAGCAGTAGGGCTGGTTCTGGTACTGCTGGATCTCCCCGGTGATCTCGGCCACTTTCCGTCGCTTGCTGAAGTTGATCAGCTCCTTGCCATGCCTCTTCAGGAAGTCAGGGTTGCCTTCCTCCGTCTTCAGGATGTTCGTCAAGTAGATCCCTGAGGAGAGAGAAAGAGAGAGAGAAAAGACATGAGAGAGTGGAGTAATGATGGACTGGCACCGGTCCGTGGAATGTTGCTGGCCGGTCCCCGAGATGGTTAACCAACACTAGTTTTAATGTAAGTGGTCCTCCAATGAGGAAAAACCCTAGCTTAGGATAGCATAGGATAGGATCAACTTTAATGTTCCCGAGGGGGAAATTGTCTTAGACACACAGTACTGCTGTTACAAAAGAAAAACTATACATTACTTGTGAGTCTCTGAGACAAAAGGGACCATAGCTTCCTGGTCCCTGGTATCAAAAAGGTTGAGAAACACTGCTCTAGAACATACCAAAGAAGGGGACACAGGGGGGATTGATGGAGCGTAGTTTTGCCAGGTACTTCTTGTAGTGGTCCTCGCTCAGTTCGTGGGCCTCCTCCAGTATCTTCCGCTGTCGGCTTGGAATTTGCTAGAGAGGAAGCGAAAGTTCACAGTCAAAACAAGTGTTAAAGATTTCGTCCTACAGATGTGTCTCTATGGTACACAGAGGCAAAGTGTGTCTATTGAGAAGAAATCCGTCATTTTGTGTTACCTCAACGTAGATACTTACTAATTACAATACTCATCAACACTAGGCACTTATTTGGTACCGCATGATTAAATCTTCATTGGATTTATGCACTGCCAGATAGTACCAAGAAAGTGTTATCACACTATTTCCTAACAACAACACCTTGCAGAAAGAACCCCTCCGGCCTTCCTCACCTCGAAGGTGTGGTCTAGCCGGTAGATGGGCGAGGAGTTCATGGCACTGACCACCTCGAGCACGCCGTTGAAGTTGTTGAGCTCCTGGAACACCTGCAGGATCTCGATGATACGCGCCACAACTGCCGCCCGCTCTTCCAGATTCTCCGTCTCTACGATACACCTGGTGGAGAACGTAGTACATTGAAAACAAATGCTATTTAAACCCAGGGGCCAGGGCCGTGTTCAATAGGCACCAAACGGACAACTGACAAACAGGGAGGGACTACCTGGATTTGTCCAACAAGAAACATACATTTTTGTTTTGAATTGCAAAACGTTTTCTGCTGCATGCCCTAATAAACATGACTCAGGTCTGCATAGTTAGGTCAATAACTTCCACAGCTGAAAGAAAATACTTATTGGCACATTTTAATGCTCCCAAATGTGTTAATTAGTAACATCATAATGACCTGTTAGTCCTCATTTGGTAACATGGTGAGCTATTAAGTCAGTGTAAGGACACATTTCACACAACCAATTCAGTGGCCCCTGAAAACTAATCAGGATGTCTCAGGAGATATCAAGCCTAGTGTGATATCACACGTAAAATCAGACAGGGATTAGCAGCTCATTCACAAAGAACAGTCCCAAATGTTTGTTTCCTTTTCCCCTTGAGAGTCAACATGGGGAGGATAGGAGTAATCGCAGCCTTGTTTAGGGTTAAATTCTGCCACCTGCATAAAGCATTCATAACACCTGTATGCATTGCACTAAAGGACATGACATAACTATACTGATCAAATACATAAACGCAACATGCAACAATTTCAACGATTTTATTGAGTTACAGTTCATATAAGGAAATTCATTAGGCCCTAATCTATGGATATCAACATTAAATTCTCTGGCAACAGCTCTGGTGGACATTGCTGCAGTGAGCACGCCATTTGCATGCTCCCTCAAAACTTGAGGCATCTGTGGCATTGTGTTGTGGAACAAAACTGCACATTTTAGAGTGGCCTTTTATTGTCCCCAGCACAAGGTGCACCTGTGTAATGAACATGCTGTTTAATCAGCTTCTTGATATGCAACACCTGTCAGATGAATGGATTATCTTGGCAGAAATGCTCCCTAACAGGGATGTAAACTCATTTGTGCACAACATTTGAGAGAAATAAGCTTTTTGTGCGTATGGAACATTTCTGGGATCTTTTATTTCAGCTCATGAAACATGGGACCAACACTTTACATGTTGTGTTGATATTTTTGTTCAGTATACATTGAGCTACATAACAGCTACATAATATACTGATATCATGCCATATTATAAATTCATCATAGCAAATGTTTTGTCAACACTGCAAGTGTAAGGAGTATCATGGTCTCGTTTCACATGAGGACCGCTTCTTTGTGCTGCCAAAACACAAAATGGGCACTCTTACTTTTCGAACCACAACGTGAGGTTGGTGGTGTGGCGGATCATGCGCAGAAGGTTGGGCGAGTTCAGCTCCTTGTCCTCCTTCGTCCACACGCTGCCCACCAGCTCTGACGGCTGCACCGCCCTGTAGATAGAGGTCAGAGAGAGGTCAATAATGCAGAGGTCAGTGGCTTTGACGCTTCAAGTAGACGCTCCAAACCAAAGATCTAGGAGGAGATTACCATTTACCCAAACTATTATATGCCATTACCCAAAGCAACTTACAAAAAATGTATTCAGTCACTATACTGTATGTTTATGTGATCCCAGCAGCAAATGAAGCCACAACTTTAGTGTTGCTAGCACCATGTGTTCACCATGTGAGCCACAGAGGACCACCATTATTAGTTATTTGACCCCAAAAATCTGACCTTGTGTCAGTGGTTAGGTGGAAACTTCTACCGACTCCTGTCTTGGCAGCTAAGGGAGCATTCTGTGCCAGCATTGCGGTAAGATTTTAAGACTATACCGGCGACCATTTTGGGGCCACAAGGCCGGTGTATTGTGATCTCGTCGTAGGAAAGGGAGTAGGGTGAATTTATTAATGTTTTTATTGTAACTTTATTTTAACAGATAGTCTTGCACTGAGACCAAGGGTCTCATTTCCAGGTGAGAACTGTGTACACAATACACAAAGATACAATATACACATTTAAAACTACACATGCATAAATACATGTTAATATTTTAAAAAAGACACAAAAAGCAAATACACAATCATAAACAAGTTACATTTCTCAGCTACTAGGTTTTCAATCAACACCTTAAACTGCCCGAGCGGCACCAGAACATCCAATTTTAATGAGATCTGCAAATTGTTCCAGCAGTGGGGCGCATTAAAACTAAAAGCGGATTTACCTAATTCGGTGGAGACCCGAGGAACCTCAAGAGTTAACCAACCCTGTGAATGCGTTTTGTAACTCATGTTTTTATACTTCAACAAAGTTAAGTAAGTCAGAAGCTTGTGTAGTAGAGCTTGTAAACAAAGACAGAGTAATTAAGTGACCTACGGGACATTAATGAGGACCAGCTCCTTCATGGACATTTAAATTGATATTCTTACAGTATATCAATTGAGTTACCCCCTAGATGCTGATCCTAGGTCAGTTTTTGAATTTTCCCCAGTAATGGTTACGGTTAGAATTGTGAGAGGGGAAGCTGATCCTAGATCTGCACCTAGGGGAAACTTCACCACAGAGCGTGGGAAAGAAGTGAGGGGATAACCTTGCGTATGGCCCAACCTAGCTGTTCCCACAGGCCCAGTGACGTAAGAGGGGAAGTGTGTCCCCGTGTCCCCTCTTTGGTGCTGCACGTTTGTGTGTGTGTGTGTGTGTGTGTGTGTGTGTGTGTGTGTGTGTGTTTATATGTGAGGAAAATTGTGTGTGTGCGCATGTGTCCTCTATTGTACTAAACGACTAATCTGACAAAATGGGAAAACATCGAAACACATTCAGACAAGAGGTGGATCCAAAGTGAAGACTACATCAAGTGTGACAAATCATGAACTGGAAAAAATGTCAACCACTTAGCCATAAGAATACCAATTGAAATGTCCATGAAGGAGTATCTTTCAATGTAAGTGAACGCTTAGGAGGATTTGGGTGCAACTGCAAAGTTATGAATCCTGAAAGAATATCCCAAACTAGAGTTGGTAGTTTTTACAGTCCTATTACCACTGATAACTTTCTAATTACTTGAAATTATGTAACAAAATTGCGAAAAAATAATTACCACGTATTTAGGGGACTAAATAAAGTGGTACACCTCCACCCTTCATTCCCCACCTGGTATGAAGTGAACAAATAAAGCACGTGACCCTTTCAGGAGCTAGGCGTATGTCGCACCTCACTACTTCACAGGAGAGGCATTTGAACGTATTTTTTTTTATCTAAATGCGTTTTGGGGCAGAAATACCTTCTGGACATGTGAACTTTCATGTGCCTTAATAACAAACTTGTATTCCATCTGTAAATACAAATACAATTGTTAAATTACAAGCCTAGTTGGTTTAGCCACGGAAAAAGACAGGAACCTTCCCGCTAGCCATGATTGGCTGAGATAATGGTTGGACTGGACATGCCGGGAGATGAGTTTGGATTGGTCTGCCATGTAGCATGCTTTTGTCTATAACGTGAGCTGCTAAGTATGTGTGGATAATCCTTTCTACCGCGTCTTTTTTGAAAGATATAACGTTAGCCATCGACAATTACAAAAGTTTTGCTACTTTTCTCAACAACATTGACGCCCTGAATTTAGCAGGCGCTATCGACGGATCAGCTGGAAAAAGTTGTGATGGGCTACTTTCTGCACACGCCACGGTCAGTGTGAACCAGAATGACTTGACACAACTTTAGCCAAACAAGATGTAGCTACTAACAAAACTGAGTTAAATGGTTCCAGTCTGCTGTGAAGCGTTCATCCATGTATACAGGTAAGAGTGTAGTTACATGTTCAGATATTATACGTTTCTAATTTAGTCAGAAAGTCATTTTCATTGCAAGTTAAAACGTACTGTTAGCTTGCTAGCGAACGTTAGCTTGCTGGCTCACTAGCTAATGTTACGTGTATGATCTGTGTAATAATATTATTCGAATAAGAATCCATTTGCATTGCTAGTTACAGCCTAATGTTAGCTAGCTAGCTAACATTGGACCTAGTTGGTTAGCTTTAGCTATCTGCAGATTCATACTACAGCTATGACAATCAGTTTGTATTGGTGGTATTAGTATGAGTTGGGATTATGCCGGTTCATTGTTTAGCTAGCTAGCTACATGTCTCAACAAAAAAACTCCACTTTGCCAGATGATTACATGACCCATCAAGTTAGCCAGGTGTGTCTGGGGGTGATTACGGCCATCTATTGTATTTCATGAACATGACAATAGTGACCCATCCACTTAGCTAGATGTGGCTGGGGGGTGGTTATAGTATTTATTTCACATGACCCATCAATTTAGACAAGTATGTCTGGGTATATACACACTGTATATATATTTTCTGTTGTATTTTTGACTTTATGTTTTGTTTACCCCGTATGTAACTCTGTGTTGTTGTTTTTATCGCACTGCTTTGCTTTATCTTGGCCAGGTCGCAGTTGTAAATGAGAACTTGTTCTCAACTGGCTTACCTGGTTAAATAAAGGTGAAATAAATAAAATAAATGGGTAAGCATCATCTAATAATTATACATTATTTACACAATCATTTTATTTGGACACTTTTCTATTTTTGATATTGCTACTATGCAAATAACCATTTCACTGTACCGTTTACACCTTCTGTATCCTGTGCATGTGACAAATAAACGTAGATTTTATTTGATACAGTGTGTGTTTACCAGAGATGGTAATGTGAAGAACAACATGACCTGCACCAAAGTCAGATAGGCCAAGGAATAGATAGTGTATTTTTACCTGGAGTTTTTCCTTATCGTAGGCTACTACTTTTACCACTTTTAGTCTTGAAATCCTTGGTTGTTTACTACACTACTCACTCGGTTTAGCACATGGCCTCATGTGAATCCTTAAAGAGATGGGTGTGGCTAAGGCTTAAGAGGGTGTGAACGATGATGAATGGGTGTAGACAAAGAAGAGCTCTCCAGTAGGTGTACCAAAACATTCAAGGGCCATTTTCTCAAAAGTGGGGTTACAAGTTTATCAACTTCCAAAGCAGATTTACTTTCTCATTGTTCCTCAACTGGAGTGTATGATATAAAATGTTCTAGCTCCGAGTCTGTACTTTTATCCAATGTAAAAGACAACATTCCAAATGTTGCTAAATACGACCAAATCCAGGTGGTGGGTCACATTTTTGCTCTAGCACAGCACTTATACAGCTGATTCAAGTAATCATCAAGCTAGTGATAAAATGAGGTGCTTCAGTACTGGACTGGAACAAAAAGAACTGGAGTTAAGAAACACTGCCGTGGATGGCCATACGGTACTGTAGGCCTACCTGTAGAAGTCGGACTCGAGCAGTGTGAGCTGCCGTGCGATCTCAATGGGGTGGAGGGTCATGAGGTCAAACTGGTCTGTCTGGCCCGGCTTGCTGAGGTGCCACTCGATGGGCGGCGGTGAGCTCTCGAAGGTGATGTTGTGGCTGGGCCCGTTGGCCTGCGCCTGCTTCTTCCTCTGGATGATCTTGGTGATGGACTCCACCCACTTCTTCATAGCCTTGCCTGGGTGAGGTCACAGATAGGGAGATCGTCACTCAGAGAAGAGAGAAGAGGAGAGAGAAGAGAGAGGAGAAAAAAAGAGAACAAGAAATTAGAAGAAAATAGAATAGAAAAGAGGATAAGAGAAGAATGAAGAGAGGATATGCAACGAGAGGAGAAAGTCCTTGCCCCGATTTATCCACACATACCTCGCACCAATGCAATGAACTCCTCCAGACGCTTGAGTAACTGGCAGTCCCGCTCAAAGTCATAGAAGTGGTGCTCCACCCAGTGGCGGCATACATTCAGTACTCTGCAGGAAGAAAGAGTAGGTTGAAACCAGGTAGATACCAGTTACAGACCAGCAAGAGACCGCTAGCTACAAATCATGACCTAAAAACTCAATAAATCTGACCCTGGATCAGCAACTTAAACCAACTCCTAAGAGACTGGGAGAGAGATGAGTTGACCGATAAGAGACCAGAGAGCCACAGATTAAAGGAGAACTACAAAGAGTGCATGCTGGGAAAATATATGGCAAATAGAAATCAAAACTAGATGGTCTTCAGAGATAGATGGGAAGAGTTGAGGGAAGCTGAAGGCGGGGACTAAAAACAAACAAAAAAATAACTTATGTAAAATATACTGTCAGTGAAATTTATGTAGTATGTATAACCTGAAGTGGAAGCCTAAGTATTGCTGTCCATTAGTTTATTCCAATTAGGGGAGGGGTCGTAGGGCTAGGGGAAAATAATAAAGAAGGAAAATATATATTAAAAATAATATATATCTGGGGGATAAAAAAAATAAAAAATAAATAAAGAGTGAATGCTTTTGTTTCAGCCCAGCACTGAAACAAAAGTTTGAAACCTTTCTCTGCTCAACAGGACAGACTATCCTCCATGTGGCATCACATGTATCACAAGAAAACCAGCATGTTCTGTTGACCCCTAGGTCATGTTCATTAGGTACCAAAATGAAAGAAAACAGACAGGGGCTACCTCGACTTGTCCAATAAGAACTTTTTTGTTGTCAAATGTTTTCTGTTTCAGTCCCTAATGAACACAACCTCTGGAATTAGGTGTGGAGAGGTACCTGAGTTGGACTGGCTGGACAAACTCCTTGCGGAATCGTTTGAGTTCGGCGCTGAGCGGTTGGTCTCCGTTCTCTATGGCCATCTGGTCCGCTTCTGTGGGCTTCGGCTCGGGAATTTCAAACCTGGAAGGTTCCGTAAAACAAAATCACAACTGAGAAGACACAGCAGTGTGGAATCTGGGATACACCTTTAACCAGACAGTAGATGGTGATTGCTATACACTAGATAGTAACAATAAAGATTGATATAATTCGAAATGTTTGAACACCTGAGGTATGTTTCTACTAGGGCTGACTCCATTTAGTCGACTGGTCGATTGTTTGGTCGATAGGCTGTCGGTCGGCCAATAATTTTTGAGTGGAGCAGTCGCAAATATATATATATATATATATATATTTTTTTTTTTCATGGCATACAAGACATTTGTCAGATTCGCGCATGTCTCAGTGGAATAATCCATTGCGTATGCCGCGGGGATGGCACGGTCCAAGAAGAAGGGGAGTGTGGCTAAGATGCACAAGGCACGTCTCTCTCCCACCATTTCGTGTGCAATTCCCCCTTACATAAATCACCTGTAGAGTACTACATTTACCGTTAATTCTCAATTTCTAATCTACAACGTTTATTTGGTTATGGTAATTTCTGTTAATGCATTCAATATATTGTTATTACAATCGTTTACCGTTCTCATTGAGTGGACACATTGTTTGCAGAGTTCACAACTTATCCCACACTTGTGAGAAACAAGTTTTGGTTTATTTCATTCCATTTACGAGTTTTGTCAATGTATTAATTGTCTTTTGTTTGGAGCGCTCCTGTCAATGTAGAGTAAGGACACGCACCTGATTACGCATATACATTTATATTTATATTTATATTTATATTTATATTTATATATATATATATATATATATATATATATATATATATATATATATATATATATAGATAGATAGAAGTAGGCCTATGCTACCTGGCCAGCGCACAAATGTAGGTCTATAAATGTGTCCATTTGGGGATGTCTGATAGTATTTCTGATTGTCTTAACTCACCACCACTAATGGTTTGAGCTTCTCAAAGTAATTTATTCTTCACCTCAAACAGCGAGTAAAGGTCTGTTTTTTTTATTGAGAATGACAATAGTTCCTTAATTGAAAAATATTTCCAGCTCTCTCCCTTTTGATAACCACTCGGCATGAAAGGGAAAAATGTAATGCTCTGATCCAGTGCAAACGTCATAAAATACCTGATTACTTCTTATCCCTTGCACAAATAGCCTACAGCTGTGTCTGTCTGTCCCGAGCTCACTGGCACGGGAAACTCTGAGGGCCCAGAATATTTTATACAATGTTGCAAATTTTCTAGCGCGAGCTTCGGGCCGGACCCAGTTGATAGTTGATACAATGTTTCAAATTCGTTTGCAGACAGGCCAATGTGATTTATAGGATATTTATGTTTAAATCAGGATATTTTCTACCTGCAGTCTGCAATGTTTTTATTTGTTGGCTTTATGTAGGCTATTTTTACATAGTTGGCAATGGTAATAGAAGTTACTTTTATATATGTATTATTTTCATTTAGATAGAATTTAGATGAACCACATGACAATGATTTTGAGATACGAAAACTTTATTATAAATGAAATAAAACTGTTCCATGAAAATGTGCATATGAAAATCATAACTGGCACGCAGAACGGTAGAACTGGTAAGATAAATTGGCACTCCAAATGGAAAAAGTTGCCGATCTCTGGCTCCCTCGAGTCATTTGTGTGTCTTAAGTATTTAATCAAACAGTGTGCGTAAAGCATCAGACATGCTACATATAGTTTATTTTATTAAAACACATAGGGTGTGTCTTTATATGGAAAAATACACATTTAAAAATTTCGACCAATCAATTGGTCAAAAGAACAGACGACTCTCGGTCGACTAAGATTTATTTTAGTCGGGGACAGCCCTAGTTTCTATAAATGTATATGTGAATATATTGTACATGATAAATACATCTCTGTCTTTGTTCTGACAAAGGTCAGAGTCAACGAGCACGGACAAATGTCTTGTCAATGTATCTGATTTTGAAAAATATGATACAATAGACACAAAAGCGGTTCTTCATAGAATAATAACAGTGGAGGCCAAATCCTAGAATGGCATCAACATTCTCACCTCTCAACAAGAAGACCCAACAGCTCCTGAGGTTTGCAGAAGGACCTGTAGGTTGTTAGAAATGTTCGGACAAAATTTGGATCTGCAAGAAGGAAAAACAAGGGGATTGTCAGCCATTTTGTTAATCATTCCCTGCAGTGTGCAAGTATCTATTTTTCTTTCATGACTTTGAGGTGATCATGTTACACTTGTATGAAATTCGCAACTGTTTGCCAGCTAGATATCTTGTAACCATTAAGTTAACAGTCTAAGATGTGCTAACCAGTGTCATGTTTATTAGGCACCAAACCGGAAGAAAACGGACTGAAACAGGGAGGACAACTCGACTTGTCCAATAAGAAACATTTCAAACATTCCCTAGTGAACATGACCCAGGTCTGTGTGTATATTAGGAGTGCTAATACTGTGGTTATGCGGGTCTTGGAGCTACAGAAAGGGCTAGATCTTATACAGTCAGAACAGCACCGTTAGTTAGTGGTTCACATGATGGATCTGTCCAAGCTCTTTCACCGAGGGCCGGCCGGGGTTGGGGGGCAGGGAACAATAGCCGCCTCAGTGTGGATTTACAAACAATCGGCCTGGAACCATTTCAGCCAGGAAACAGACGCTGCTCTGACGCACGCAGTTGCCACTACACCACACACACATACACAAGCTTAAAAATAGATCATCCGTCTGCCCTCCCCACCACCGACATACACACTACAGTGTTTCTCCTAGACTTTGACCACAAATACCAGTTTAGGTCAACAACATTATTTGGGTATGAGTTAACAGAATATGAACTTATAAAAGGTTAGATTTTCACTGGGCAGTTACTTTAAAGCTGATTTCCTGCAATTCTACACATTTCGCCATGGCTTATGTTGTGTTCTTATGCTATCTGAGTGACTCAAACATAACAAAATGAATGGGGCCCAATGCAATGACATTTTTGAAATGTTATATTCTCCCTGACAGTTTCGTTTTTATTCTGGTGACAAAATGTGGAAAAAGTAAAGGGGCCGCCCGGCCAAACTGAGCAATGGTGGGAGAAGGGCCTTGGTCAGGGAGGTGACAGAGAACCCGATGGTCACTGACAGAGCTCCAGAGTTCCTCTGTGGAGATGGGAGAACCTTCCAGAAGGACAACCATCTCTGCAGCACTTCACCAATCAGGCCTTTATCGTAGAGTGGCCAGACAGAAGCCACTCCTCAGTAAAAGGCACATGACAGCCGGCTTGGAGTTTGCCAAAAGGTACCTAAAGGACTCTCAGACCATGAGAAACAAGATTCTTTGGTCTGATGAAACCAAGATTTAACTATTTGGCCTGAATGTCAAGCGACAGGGACTGGGAGACTAGCCAGGATCAAGGGAAAGATGAACGAAGCAAAGTACAGAGAGATCCTTGATGAAAACCTGCTCCAGAGCACTCAGGACCTCAGACTGGGGTGAAGGTTCACCTTCCAACAGGACAACGACCCTAAGCACACAGCCAAGACAATGCAGGAGTGGCTTCGGGACAAGTCTCTGAATGTCCTTGAGTGGCCCAGCCAGAGCCCTGACTTGAACTCGATCGAACATCTCTGGAGAGACCTGAAAATAGCTGTGCAGCGACACTCCCCATCCAACATGACATAGCTTGATAGGATCTGCAGAGAAGAATGGGAGAAACTCCCCAAATACAGGTGTGCTAAGCTTGTAGCGTCATACCCAAGAAGACTTGAAGCTGAATCGCTGCCAAAGGTGCTTTAACAAAGTACTGAGTAAAGGGTCTGAATACTTCCGTTAATGTGATATTTAAAAAAAAATATATATATACATTTGCAAACATTCCTAAAAACCTGTTTTTGCTTTGTCATTATTGCTTTGTCATTTTGTCTGTAGATTGAAGAGGGAAAAAAACAATTTAATCAATTTTAAAATAAGGCTGTAACGTAACAACATTTGGAAAAAGTCAAGGGGTCTGAATACTTTCCGAATGCACTGTATTATATATCATTTCAAAAGGTAATTTCATGACCTTTCAGAACCACTTGTCAAACAAAGTTTAAAATGTATCAGGGTTTCCTTTTTAATGGCTTATACTGGTCATTTTGATATGTACCCTAGAGGTCAATGGTCAAAGTTCTGTTGACCGGAACATTCTGAAAATGTGCCTGATGGATAGCTGTGAATCTCTAAGGTTTCCAATGATATACGATTAAAGGGTACAAGTGAGCAATAACTTGTTGTATACTGACATTGTTTGTCATAGGGTATAATCCCTATGGGAAAATAGATGGGACGGAGGGATGAACGATAACACCAGAAAGCCACCATTACTGCACTGCTATCACACATTTTCCAAATCTAGGGACATAGACCTTCAAAATAAATCACTATGAGACATCGTCATCGTCGTCCCAAGTGAGCCCTGACTGACCCCCCATGGCTCATGGACTATATGGATTCTTGATTATAATTTATGGCAAAAGAGAAGCATAGTTCCATGCAAATCATAACGCAGATAGTCAGGACAGAGAGATAAGAGGAGAACGTGCGTGTTGTCCCTCCCCTGCTGTCTGCTGGGTGGGAGTGGGGTGTGTGTCCAGGCATGAGGTGCATCGTACAGGAAGCACCTTTTTCCCCTTTTTCAAATTACCCTGGGCACACAGACACTGCACACATACACACTTTTCCTCAAAAGGCTTGTTTCCCTTGGCTTATTTGAAATCAGTGGTGCACAGACTGTTGGAAAATAGTGGGCCTATATTTACACCCTACTCTTTATTCGGGGGAGGAAGTTTACACAGGGGTGTGAGCTGGACAGTCCACCCATAAGAGGAATGTTCTCTCCTGGCTCTGTATTGTGCTGCAATAACCTTGGACCAGTGTTTTTCAACTCCAGTCCTTCAGTACTCCCCAACAGCACACATGTTTGGTGTAGCCCAGGGCAAGCACACCTGAATCAACTAGTCAACTATCATCAAGCCCTTGGGTGAGTTGAATCAGGTGTGCTTCAACCAAAATGTGTACAGTTTGGGGGTAATCATGGACCACAGTTGAGAAATACTGCTCTAGACTTCCAGAGACAAACAAGATAAAACCCAAACTTGTGTGTAAGAGTTCAGAAAGGCTTCCGTGCTAAACAAAGGAAAACGTGTATGTTTAAGAAGATTTTACACAACACCTGTATGATTGCATGACATTGAATAACAATGCATAGAAACAGACCAAATTTAGAAGCGCTTGGCTTAAATGTTTTGCTCCCCTGGATTACCAGAGCCCACATCCACTTGGACTTTGAGCGATTTAATTTAGTGATTTATTTCCCCAAAACGGCATCATTACTTTTAATTAATGAAGAGCTTATTGGTCCAATCGCGGCCTTGTATCTGGTTAGGTACAACGGCACCCGTCAGTAGAGAAGAATACACACCAATGGTCTAACAACTGCTATGTGTGCTGGGTCATTCAGCCTTTCTAAAGAGTGATTCCTCACGAAACCCAGACAAAGAAACCATGATTTTTTACATTTTCACAACATTTTATCCATAGAATAGTCCTTCTGTTGAAGGATTGTTGACATATATTTGACATTTGTATCTATAAGCATAATTGAGTAATAATTAATCAAAGTTGGCATATTTCTGACATTTTGGCCTTATCCAGGCCTCCTTTAAGACTCCATAGTGTTTCATCTGTAGGTGCTACTAAGCAAACATCGGTGTCATATGAAGTTTTATTGCTTGCTCTGTAATATGAGTAGTATTTTGATTTCAATCACTTTTTTTACATTAATTTATGAATATTGACAAATATAAACAAATATTGATTTGGTATTTAAAAAAGATATATTGTTGAACATAATATAGCCTACTCTACGGGCATATCAAAGTTACAGAGGGGATCTCTGCTATTCTTAGAGTTATGATCCAATTTGTAAGCATTACCAACAGTGAATGTGAAAATGGATTCAAAATGGTCGCCCTCTGCTGGTGATTTGCAAGATATGCAATGATACAAGTAAAAGGAGGGCTGTGATTGGTTACATTGCCTACTATGCCAATTTCTCCGTATAAAATGGGCCATAACTTTACAACTAGCAGAGATTCCGATCTGGAACTTTGAGATGCCCGTGGAGCCTATTATGTTCAACAATGTATATTTAAAAAAATGGGCAAATCAAAAGTGGCATATTTTCAATATTCATGTTTATCTTTCGATATTCAAAGGTTTGGACACACCTACTCATTCAAGGGTTTTTCTTAATTTTTACTATTTTCTACATTGTAGAATAATAGTGAAGACATCAAAACTATGAAATAACACATATGGAATCATGTAGTAACCGAAAAAGGGTTAAACAGATCAAATAGCCAAACATTGTCTTGATGACAGCTTTGCACACTCTTGGCATTCTCTCAACCAGCTTCACCTGGAATGCTTTTCCAACAGTCTTGAAGGAGTTCCCACATATGCTGAGCACTTCCTTCACTCTGCCGTCCGACTCATCCCAAACCATCCCAATTGGGTTGAGGTCGGTTGATTGTGGAGGCCAGGTCATCTGATGCAGCACTCCATCACGCTCCTTCTTGGTAAAATAGCCCTTACACAGCCTGGAGGTGTGTTGGGTCATTGTCCTGTTGAAAAACAAATGATAGTCCCACTAAGCCCAAACCAGATGGGATGGCGTATCGCTGCAGAATGCTGTGGTAGCCATGCTGGTTAAGAGTGCCTTGAATTCTAAATAAATCACAGACAGTGTCACCAGCAAAGCACCCCCACACCATAACACCTCCTCCTCCATGGTTTACGGTGGGAAATACACATGCAGAGATCATCCGTTCACCCACACTGCATCTCACAAAGACACGGCAGTTGGAACCAAAAATCTCCAATTTGGACTCCGGACCAAAGGACACATTTCCACCGGTCTAATGTCCATTGCTCGTGCTTCCTGGCCCAAGCATGTATCTTCTTCTTATTGGTGTCCTTTAGTAGTGGTTTCTTTGCAGCAATTCAACCATGAAGGCCTGATTCACACAGTCCCCTCTGAACAGTTGATGTTGAGATGTGTCTGTTACTTGAACTCTGTGAAGCATTTATTTGGGCTGCAATTTCTGAGGCTGGTAACTCTAATGAACTTATCCTCTGCAGCAGAGGTAACTCTGGGTCTTCCATTCCTGTAGCGGTCCTCATGAGAGCCAGTTTCATCATAGCGCTTGATGATTTTTGCGACTGCACTTGAAGAAACGTTCAAAGTTCTTGAAATGTTCCATATTGACTGACCTTCATGTCTTAAAGTAATGATGGACTGACTGTCGTTTCTCTTTGCTTATTTGAGCTGTTCTTGCAATAATATGGACTTGGTCTTTTACCAAATAGGGCTATCTTCTGTATAACCCTCCCCTACCTTGTCTCAACACAACTGATTGGCTCAAACGCATTAAGAAGGAAATAAACTTTTAAGGCGGCACACCTGTTAATTGAAATGCATTCCAGGTGACTACCTCATGAAGCTGGTTTAGAGAATGCCAAGAGTGTGCAAAGCTGTCATCAAGGCAAATGGTGGCTATTTGAAGAATCCAAATATAAAATATTTTGATTTGTTTAACACTTTTTTTGTTACTACATAATTCCATATGCGTTATTTCATAGTTTTGATGTCTTCACTATTATTCTACAATGTAAAAAATAGTAAAAATAAAGAAAAACCCTTGAATGAATAGGTGTGTCCAAACTTTTGACTGGTAGTATATATATATATATATTTTAAAAATCAAAATACTACTCATATTACAGAGCAAGTGGTAAAACTTCATATGACATACATTTTTGCTTTGTAGCACCTACAGATAAAGCATTATTGAGTCTTAAAGGAGGCCTGGGAAAGGCAAAAATTTCATAAATATGCCAACTTTTAGATACAAATATATGTCAACAATCCTTCCTCCAAAGGACTATTTTATGGATTACATTTTGTAAACATCCCGAAAATCATGGCATTTTTTTGTTTGGCTTTTGTGAGGAATCACTAAAAGAGTTCAGGTGTCGCTGAAGTCTACAAAGTGATTACCTCAACAACACTGTAATGGCTAGCTCACCAACACTCCACAAAGGGCTGTGTTTAAAGGGGAAATTCAGTATTTTATAACTTGATGCTAGATGGTTCCTAACCATGAAAGTACTCTAGGGCCTGGAGAAACTGTAATCCATGGTTTGTTTTTCTTTAAACAGCTACACACAAGGTGAGGATACTGAACTTCCCCTTTAAACACTAAACAGATGGGCAAATTACAAGCAGGAAAGATCTGCTACTACCGGTCACTTACTAAATGGCGACGTGAAGATGAATAGGCTTCGTCCTCTTGTTTTTTGTTCTTTATCAGTTCTCGTTGTGTTATCAGGGGCTAAACTGACACTGAAACAAAGCAGGTCATCACATCCCGCGTTCTGACGTCAAGTGTGGCCAAATATTTACAAGCCGTGTGAAAACAGCTATAAATGGACTTGGGGATGACGAAAGTGGGGGAAGAAATACGCCTTCCACTATCTTGTCTTTTATGTTTAGCATAAACTTTGTTTGCGCCAAGCTCAAGGTGTTGTGTGTAGAACAACAAGGTGATAACAGGAACAGGCACTCCAGGCACTGGGCAAGTGTATATTGCATAACCACAAACAATGGAGGTGTACAATGCTGGAGACACATGAGTAAGAGACCAGGCCCTAATAGCCAGGATAAAATTAACAAGATACAGAACATATCTAGGTTTCTAGGAATTCGCTTTCACCTGTCCAGTTCTCTCACATCAAGGAAATGAAACGTGGAGAGGGAGCCATTTGAGATGCGACCCATGTCTACTTCCTGCTCCTCGTAGCCCTTTACACACGTACCCGTATACAGGTTGAAATGGCATATTTGAGCACTGATAAGCGCAGTGGCTGTACAATAACATGCAGTGTCAACGTTTATGATCACAATGTTTGATGTACAGTTACAAGATGACATGGCGTCATACCCTGGGTTGTTCTGAACAGCATGACTCTTTTCTATGCACACCAAAATTACGATCGATTTCTCTGGGAATTGCCCTGTGAAAGCCTAACACTGTAAGATAGTATTTTATAACTTAGCTAGTCATGTTGGCAATAGAACAAGCTTTCATGATGCCCACCTGACTCAGAATGCGATTTCAAATGTGCAGTTTATGGATTGCGTAAACAACAGTAATTGTGTGATAGCGGCGATGCAGGTCTGCGTTACAAACAAAACAACTACAAGTCTGCTTGCTCTAGTTCCTCAACGGCTCAGCTAGGAGAACATAAAAAAGCACCTTATAGTTGAAGACTCTTCTTTGAGTCATTAAAGTGCATTGAAATTACATAGGAACTGTGCACACTTTAGAGAGGTGTGTGGCCACCTGGAGACACCAGTTAGTCCTCTCACTCAAACAATTTTTTTGTCTTATGTTGCATCCACCCAACATTTTTCAGAAATATTGTTATCATGTTACTGAATGTATACAGAGTATTTTCAGATTTCGTTACCAACAAATGTGCCGAAAAGTACAGTAAATGTAAAATGCACATAAAATCAACAGTGTAATGTTTGGATTCAGTCTTGTGTCAGGAGAACTGTCGTGTCTTCAACTTTGGTCTAATAATGTTCCCATAATCTCCAAACTGTTCCCTTTCAATTGCTACCATGCTTATGCATTTCATATTTATTCTGTAAAAAACATTTACATTTAGCCCTATCCATACAGGCCAATTCCCACGAGTGTGAAGGGTTAAACCTGTTGTTGAACACCAAATGTACTCCTATCGACTACTTTTTCACAGGACTCTCCTCCTCTAACCCCAAAACCCTACCCCTATTCTACGATTGGAAAGGAACTGCAAGATGTTCTCTTCCAGGATTGAGCAACTACTGTTATTCCATACATATGAGGAAGGTATTTGTATAACCTACTGTACGGAAAAGGCATGCATTTCAACAGGTCATAACAGGTCAACATAGGAAACCCTTTCTGTGTCGTGTGCTTTTTCTCACCTGCATACATGTGGAAGGTGAGCCTTTCGATGAGCTTGAGCACCGTACCCGCCTTGATGATGGGGATGCCCGACTTGGACTGCACGTTCTCCTCAAACACCACGTTCTCCTCCGAGTCGGGTGTGGCGAACCGGTAAAGCTCCGCCCCTGGCAGCCTCATTTGCTCTTCCTTCTCCTCCTGTAGCATGGCCGAGTCCAGCATGCGCTCCAGCGTTGAGCGGTACTGCAGCGAGATGAGCGCCGCCATCCAGCCGTTCTTGTCCTCGGCCGACTTGGCAGCGAACACCACGCTGTTGCCATCTTTGAGGATGATCTCAAAGGCGTGACGGTACTCGCCCTCCTTGTCGTCCTTGTCGTTGATCTGCACCTTGCGCATGAAGAACTTCTCCTTGAGGCGGTACTCGGCAGTGGACGAGGCGCCAGGCAAGCGCGGCTGGCCGTGGTTGGACTTGCAGCAGATCATCAGGCCATCGAAGAGGAAGATGTGCCGTTCGTGCTTGGCGCCCACGCGTGTCAGCGTCCCCTCCATGAGGAATTCGTTGCAGCACTGGCCGATGTCCTTGCCCTCCCAGCCATCAATGTTCTTCTGGATCTCGTTCATCTTCTTGATGGCCAGGTGCTTGCCCTTCATCTGCTGGCTGTAGAAGCGGCAGGCCGACTCGCTGGTGCCGCCGAAGAGTTTGAGGAGAGAGAGAAAGAGAAAGAAAAGGTGAAAAAGAGAGATAATAGGACAGAAAGTTGAATGTAGGAAAGAATGTGAGAGAAAAAAGGGAGAAAGGTGGAAGAAGAGAGGAAGGGAAATGTGGGTCTGATGTTCACAGCACATTGACAACGGAAAACGAGTCAACAAAGCCAGCAAGACTGAGATTGAGTGGAGGGTCAGTGTGGGTGGCGGAGTTTCTAAAGCAGCGGTATAACTAAACCTGGTCCAGGAGGGGGTTCCTACAAATAACATCTCATTAGCAAAACACTGGTGGGTGCGACTGAAGCAACGTGACTGGCATCCCAACCCATAACTAATCCTGACCCTAACCTTAAAGGAAAATTAGGGCTATTGGTGTGGTTAAAGGAAAAATCCACCCAAAAACTATATTTTGGTATTTGTTTCATTAGTCCATTGTTGATAAAGTCACAAAATGTTGATTGCTGACATGCAAAACATTTAGGGACTATACAGTGAGGGAAAAAAGTATTTGATCCCCTGCTGATTTTGTACGTTTGCCCACTGACAAAGAAATGATCAGTCTATAATTTTAATGGTAGGTTTATTTGAACAGTGAGAGACAGAATAACAACAACAAAAATCCAGAAAAACACATGTCAAAAATGTTATAAATTGATTTGCATTTTAATGAGGGAAATAAGTATTTGACCCCCTCTCAATCAGAAAGATTTCTGGCTCCCAGGTGTCTTTTATATGGGTAACGAGCTGAGATTAGGAGCACACTCTTAAAGGGAGTGCTCCTAATCTCAGTTTGTTACCTGTATAAAAGACATCTGTCCACAGAAGCAATCAATCAATCAGATTCCAAACTCTCCACCATGGCCAAGACCAAAGAGCTCTCCAAGGATGTCAGGGACAAGATTGTAGACCTACACAAGGCTGGAATGGGCTACAAGACAATCGCCAAGCAGCTTGGTGAGGTGACAACAGTTGGTGCGATTATAACAAAATAACTGTCAATCTCCCTCGGCCTGGGGCTCCATGCAAGATCTCACCTTGTGGAGTTGCAATGATCATGAGAACGGTGAGGAATCAGCCCAGAATTACACGGGAGGATCTTGTCAATGATCTCAAGGCAGCTGGGACCATAGTCACCAAGAAAACAATTGGTAACACACTACGCCGTGAAGGACTGAAATCCTGCAGCGCCCGCAAGGTCTCCCTGCTCAAGAAAGCACATATACAGGGCCGTCTGAAGTTTGCCAATGAACATCTGAATGATTCAGAAGAGAACTGGGTGAAAGTGTTGTGTTCAGATGAGACCAAAATGGAGCTCTTTGGCATCAACTCAACTCGCCATGTTTGGAGGACGAGGAATGCTGCCTATGACCCCAAGAACACCATCCCCACCGTCAAACATGGAGGTGGAAACATTATGCTTTGGGGGTGCTTTTCTGCTAAGGGGACAGGACAACTTCACCGCATCAAAGGGACGATGGACGGGGCCATGTACCGTCAAATCTTGGGTGAGAACCTCCTTCCCTCAGCCAAGGCATTGAAAATGGGTCATGGATGGGTATTCCAGCATGACAATGACCCAAAACACACGGCCAAGGCAACAAAGGAGTGGCTCAAGAAGAAGCACATTAAGGTCCTGGAGTGGCCTAGCCAGTCTCCAGACCTTAATCCCACAGAAAATCTGTGGAGGGAGCTGAAGGTTCGAGTTGCCAAACGTCAGCCTCGAAACCTTAATGACTTGGAGAAGATGTGCAAAGAGGAGTGGGACAAAATCCCTCCAGAGATGTGTGCAAACCTGGTGGCCAACTACAAGAAACGTCTGACCTCTGTGATTGCCAACAAGGGTTTTGTCACCAAGTACTAAGTCATGTTTTGCAGAGGGGTCAAATACTTATTTCCCTCATTAAATTGCAAATCAATTTATAACATTTTTGACATGAGTTCTTCTGGATTTTTTGTTGTTATTCTGTCTCTCACTGTTCAAATAAACCTACCATTAAAATTATAGACTGATCATGTCTTTGTCAGTGGGCAAATGTACAAAATCAGCAGGGGATCAAATACTTTTTTCCCTCACTGTATCCTTTAACCACACCAATAGCCCTAAACTTAACCTAACCAGAACCAATTAGGTAATTCAACATCGGTTTGCTGGTCAGTCATGTCCCTTCAGTTTCCACCCAACACTGGTGGACCAGCAGGCCAATTGACTAGACTTCCTCACCATTCCAGCAGTTGAACAAAACGGTAGTCTACTGAGGAAGGGCCCATACCCATGGTTAACAGGGTGCCTCGGCGGACCAACTGAGAAAGTGCATAAGAACAGAATGAGTCTAAAAGAATAAAGAGCATCTGATTATATTTCTTTGAGTCAGTGACCATTTAAATATTGTTCTGGTTCATTATACCATTAATATGGTCTATGGTCTGACTATCCTATTCAAAATGAGTATCTCTCATTCCAATTCTTTTAGGACCACAATGTAGACTAGTCTTTGTTTTAATCAAATCTCTTTATTCTCATTATACCAATGTCTATTTGCAGTCTCTATTCATTATTAAGGAGCATGCCCCCTGTTGTAATAGCTAGGTCATGTGAGGAGTAAGTCCTAAACTCTTTCAGCAATTCAATACAAAAAGACTGGTTTGAGTCAAAACCAGCACATATGGTGGTCTTTCAAAACCTGAATGACAAAACTTAAGTAAACAGAAGACCAGAAAGCTCTGCGGCCCACCAGAACCAAAATCTCACCTCTAATGCTCATAACAATAAGCTGAGCAATAATTCCAATGATCACTTATAAAACCACATACTTAGAATAATCAAACAGCATTGAGCCACTGGGGCTTGATTTCTGATTTCCGAATGGTCTTTTTTTTGGGGGGGGGGGGGGGGGGTTAAAGATTTGTTGGGGTTCTACAATCGATTGAGTGAGAGGGTGATAGGGGACAGAAAAAAAATCTACAAGGATTTAACAGCAGCTAGTACAGTGCGTCTGAACGAGAACTACTAGTAAACAATCGGGGGGGGAAGGAGCTTACTTTGTTTTTCGCGGACGCACGATGACTTGCATCAGCGCTCCCGAGAGACGGGGGAGGCAGTCGAAACCAACTTGTGCGCGCCTGTCTTCATACCAGCACCTCAAAGTACAGGATGACTGTCAACTGGCCCGAATTAGCTTCGCTGAGAGACAAGGGGCACCTCTGAATGGCAAGGGATAGACTACACTCAAAACTCGACCCAAAAACTACAATTCCCATTTCCCAGTCCCATTAAGTGTGAAACTCTAAAAACTATATACAGAAAGAAACAGTCAAAACTTTTCCTACTCTGAAGTCCGAACAAAGAGGTTTTATTTGAAGTGCATTTACATTAATCTTTAAACTAGTAGTCTTACGATGAAATGAATCAAGTAGTTAATTAAAGCAAAAATATATAATGAGCATCATTATCAAACCATAATTTATCCCAGGCAGCGCTGGACCTTGCCAGAGTATTAGCGACTGAGAGCTTATTATGTTTTTCCTAATGAACAGCAAGCTTGTGAAAGAGCAAGCATAATTCAAATGGCTGTGACAATAGAACTCTTGGATTGTTCTTTGTTCTGACTCTCGAAATACAAAGACCCCTAGAGACAGGAAAGGTGTAGCAAAGTCAACCCTTGTCGGGTACCCCAACTTAGTGCGTCCTCTCGGACCATCCATTTTAACCTCCTGTTTGTGTCACCATCCCCACGTTCCCGCCAAAGTATGGGGTGCAAAGACATACCGTAAGATAAGCCATCCTTTCCCCATGAAAAAACAAACAAAAACAAAACAAAAAAGAACAGCAACAAAGGGGTAAAAAAAATAAAAATGTTTATACCCTACGTCCTCATACTCGACACTCTTCGCTTCCACACAGGTAAAGAACGAGCGACAACCGTATGTAACCAAAAAAACACCCTGTTTTCTTCACCAATACAAAAGGAGGGATGGAGAGAAAAATGGTCTGCAAGGTTGGGATGCAAAAGTCTACTGTTGAAAGCAAGGGGATTCGTTTCCCCCCCTTTCAAACTCTCTCACCTTTTTTTTTTCTTTCTAAAAGCCGGGAACAATAATATCAGAACAGGACAGCCCAATTCCTGACACAACTTCCCTCCGACAACACAGTGGTGAGCCCCCCTCCAACCCTTTCCCTCCCCCCACGAGTCTATTTTAGGTCCAGAGGGAAACTCAGAACTGAGCTTAGGGTGGGGGTTGTGCAGAGGATGGGAGGGGTACACCATGAGGCAGTAGTATGAATTGCTGTGTGTGTGTGTGTGTGTGTGTGTGTGTCTATTGTGATGTGTGTATTGTGCTGTGCAAGTGTTAACACCTCTGAGCATATATAGTGCACATTTGAGACATATCCACCTTTTGGTACACATGTGGTACATATGCGCTTGTCTAGTCTGTGCCATTATACAGTGGGGAAAAAAAGTATTTAGTCAGCCACCAATTGTGCAAGTTCTCCCACTTAAAAAGATGAGAGAGGCCTGTAATTTTCATCATAGGTACACGTCAACTATGACAGACAAATTGAGGAAAAAAAATCCAGAAAATCCCATTGTAGGATTTTTAATGAATTTATTTGCAAATTATGGTGGAAAATAAGTATTTGGTCACCTACAAACAAGCAAGATTTCTGGCTCTCACAGACCTGTAACTTCTTCTTTCAGAGGCTCCTCTGTCCTCCACTCGTTACCTGTATTAATGGCACCTGTTTGAACTTGTTATCAGTATAAAATACACCTGTCCACAACCTCAAACAGTCACACTCCAAACTTCACAATGGCCAAGACCAAAGAGCTGTCAAAGGACACCAGAAACAAAATTGTAGACCTGCACCAGGCTGGGAAGACTGAATCTGCAATAGGTAAGCAGCTTGGTTTGAAGAAATCAACTGTGGGAGCAATTATTAGTAAATGGAAGACATACAAGACCACTGATAATCTCCCTCGATCTGGGGCTCCACGCAAGATCTCACCCCGTGGGGTCAAAATGATCACAAGAACGGTGAGCAAAAATCCCAGAACCACACGGGGGGACCTAGTGAATGACCTGCAGAGAGCTGGGACCAAAGTAACAAAGCCAACCATCAGTAACACACTACGCCGCCAGGGACTCAAATCCTGCAGTGCGAGACGTGTCCCCCTGCTTAAGCCAGTACATGTCCAGGCCCGTCTGAAGTGCATTTGGATGATCCAGAAGAGGATTGGGAGAATGTCATATGGTCAGATGAAACTCAACTCGTCATGTTTGGAGGACAAAGAATGCTGAGTTGCATCCAAAGAACACCATACCTACTGTGAAGCATGGGGTTGGAAACATCATGCTTTGGGGCTGTTTTTCTGCAAAGGGACCAGGACGACTGATCCGTGTAAAGGAAAGAATGAATGGGGCCATGTATCGTGAGATTTTGAGTGAAACCCTCCTTCCATCAGCAAGGGCATTGAAGATGAAACGTGGCTGGGTCTTTCAGCATGACAATGATCCCAAACACACCGCCCGGGCAACGAAGGAGTGGCTTCGTAAGAAGCATTTCAAGGTCCTGGAGTGGCCTAGCCAGTCTCCAGATCTCAACCCCATAGAAAATCTTTGGAGGGAGTTGAAAGTCTGTGTTGCCCAGCGACAGCCCCAAAACATCACTGCTCTAGAGGAGATCTGCATGGAGGAATGGGCCAAAATACCAGCAACAGTGTGTGAAAACCTTGTGAAGACTTACAGAAAACGTTTGACCTGTGTCATTGCCAACAAAGGGTATATAACAAAGTATTGAGAAACTTTTGTTATTGACCAAATACTTATTTTCCACCATCATATGCCAATAAATTCATTAAAAATCCTATAATGTGATTTTCTGGATTTTTTTTCCTCATTTTGTCTGTCATAGTTGACGTGTACCTATGATGAAAATTACAGGCCTCTCTCATCTTTTTAAGTGGGAGAACTTGCACAATTGGTGGCTGACTAAATACTTTTTTTCCCCACTGTATGTGTCTGAGTTAGCTTTCCATATTTTTCTTGTGGATTTCTATTATTGCATCAGTCAGTGTGTGTGCACATGTATTGTGTGTGTCTGAGTTAGCTTTGCATCTTCTTGGGTAAAGAGAACCAGGTGTGGATTGGCCAGGAGGGGTTGTAAGTTGGCGCTCCCCTTCCTACCTCAGCCTCCTCTTGGCCATGTTCTTGGAGCAGATCCTCTCCATGCTACTCTGCAGATTGAGCAGCGCCGTGATGGCCTGCTTCAGACACTCCTTGTCCTCCTCGTCCTCGCTCTTCTCCTCCAGTTGCTGTGGAAAGGAGGGGGGGGGGGATAGGGGCAGAGAAAGAGTGGGTAAGAGGGAGGAAGATAATAAAATGTTGGGTCAGGTGGTTTCGCTGGTAGGGGGAGTCTTGTGAAGGATCATGATGCGGTATAAGGCCAAACTCATGAGCGAGATTAGGGCTGAGGAATGAATAAGTTCTTCATCTCTCTCCCTCTCCATCATTCTCTCATTCCCAACCCCCTCAACTCCAGTGTTTCCCCTTAATTCTTACTTTCTTTAGCGACAACCAAGGAACAAAATGGCTACGAACATTCAACTGACACCACATGACCCTTTGTGAAATACCACGCAATGGTCACCCTCCTTCTTTATATATACAGTGCATTCGGAAAGTATTCAGACCCCTTGATTTTTTCCCACATTTTGTTACTTTACAGCCTTATTCTAAAATTGATGAAATTATAAATTTTTCCCTCATCAATCTACACACAATACCCCATAATGACAAAGTGAAAACAGGTTTTTAGAAATTTTAGCAAATGTATAAAGAAAACAACTGAAATAAGTATTCAGACCCGAAATTGAGCTCAGGTACATCCTGTTTCCATTGATCATCCTTGAGATGTTTCTACAACTTGATTGGAGTCCACCTGTGGTAAATTCAATTGATTGGACATGATTTGGAAAGGCACACACCAGTCTATATAAGGTCCCACAGTTGACAGTGCATGTCAGAGCAAAAACCAAGCCATGAAGTCGAAGGAATTGTCCGTAGAGCTCAGAGACAGGATTGTGTTGAGGCACAGATCTGGGGAAGGGTACCAAAAAATTACTTCAGCATTGAAGGTCCCCAAGAACAAAGTGGCCTCCATCATTCTTAAATGGAAGTAGTTTGGAACCACCAAGACTCTTCCTACAGCTGGCCGCCTGGCCAAACTGAGCAATCGGGGGAGAAGGGCCTTGGTCAGGGAGGTGACCGAGAACCCGATGGTCACTTTGACAGAGCTCCAGAGTTCCTCTGTGGAGATGGGAGAACATTCCAGAAGGACAACCATCTCTACAGCACTCCACCAATCAGGCCTTTATGGTAGAGTGGCCAGACGGAAGCCACTCCTCAGTAAAAGGCACATGACAGCCCGCTTGGAGTTTGCCAAAAGGCACCTAAAGGACTCTGACCATGAGAAACAAGATTCTCTGGTCTGATGAAACCAAGATTGAACTCTTTGGCCTGAATGCCAAGCGTCACATCTGGCAGAAACCTGGCACCATCCCTAAGCTGAAGCATGGTGGCAGCGTCATGTTGTGGGAATGTTTTTCAGCGTGAGGGAGACTAGTCAGGATCAAGGGAAAGATGAACGGAGCAAAGTACAGAGAGATCCTTGATGAAAACCTGCTCCAGAGCGCTCAGAACCTCAGACTGGGGTGAAGGTTCACCTTCCAACAGGACAATGACCCTAAGCACACAGCCAAGACAACGCAGAAGTGGCTTCGGGACAAGTCTCTGAATGTCCTTGAGTGGCCCGGCCAGAGCCCGGACTTGAACCTGATCGAACGTCTCTGGAGAGACCTCAAAATAGCTGCGCAGCAACGCTCCCCATCCAACCTGACAGAGCTTAAGAGGATCTGCAAAGAAGAATGGGAGAAACTCCCCAAATACAGGTGTGCCAAGCTTGTAGCGTCATACCCAAGAAGACTCGAGGCTGTAATCACTGCCAAAAGGTGCTTCAACAAAGTACTGAGTAAAGGGTCTGAATACTTATGTAAATGTCATTTTTCATTTTTTTGTTGATATTTTAGATATTCAGTGTGTAGATTGATGAGGAAAAAAACGATTTAATCAATTGTAGGATAAGGCTGTAACGTAACAAAATGTGGAAAAAGTCAAGGGGTCTGAATACTTTCCGAATGCACTGTATAAGCCATATATACACGTACATGGCTCTGGTAGCCAAATGTGTTTTGGTGAGCGGACCTAAAAATAGCCGTCAAGGAGAAAACATTGAATATTCAATTACTTTTTTCTCTATCTATCCTTAAACCATGTTATTTTCTTTGCAGTTTTTATTCAAGAGTCTCTAAACCAATAAAGTTGCTAGCATGCTGTTGTTAAAATACAGACAGCCCTACCTTTTGCATCTGTAGCGACAGTGTCTATATTATGGTTTGATTTAGTCTTGTGTCCCTGTACAAATGCATGACATGTAAGGGATAAATCAATGAGGGGCTATGCGTTCTATGGAAAAGAATGAACGACGTGGAAGGAGTGTTCTACGATGTGCTAGCGGAGTTTAACTAACCTTCCACGGAGTTGCATTATATTCCAGAGAACGCATTGAGCCCAGAGTGGATTATCCCTTTTATACCATGGCTATAATTTAACACATTTGCCACTAGAAATGTGTTCATTTGCAGGTAGAAATGTATTCAACATCCACTGAAGTAGCTAGGAAGTTTATTAGTTGCCTTGGTAACCAAACAAACAGACTTGCTAGTTAGCTAACCAAACCATCAGTCCTAGCTTGCTATTATGAAAATCGAATTCAACAATGCCAAATGTTTTCAATTCGACTTTTGCTTTCAAAAGCAGCTCAAACATAGAACATGTAATAATTAACTATAGCCTTTGAATTCTACCGTGCTGATAGGGAAATAATGCACACTCTAGAATGCCCTTCAAGCCAATCAGAAACAAGTATTTAACAATGCAATGGTATACGTCTATATATTGTATTTGCACAGCGATAGAAGATACTAATTATCTCCCCGAAAACCAGTAGAATCATGTTTTTACATCTTGGAATGGCTTGAGACACCATAAGTTTGCCCCCTTGTGAGAAAATAGAGAAACTATGCACCTCCAGGAGTGGATGGAGAAACCAAGGTCGTGTTCATTAGAGCATGCAACGTAAAACCGTTTAAAAGCATTCTGCACCTCATTGGACAAGTCAAGATAGTCCCTCGTTTGCCTGTTGTCTTCTGTTTGGTGCCTAATGAACATAACCCATGTGTATGCATCCTATGGCTGTCCCTTTGGCTATCCCATTTGAGGACAAGGCAGAAAGAGACTCCTTCTCTCCACACTCTTTCCCTTTACCCTGGACTCGCAGTAAGTAAACTGGGGATAGAAAAAAATTATGAGGCATTTCAGCGATTTAGCCCTATGCAGAGCAGCCGCCACCTCCATGGCTTGCTGGAAAGAGGCTCAGGGGAGAATAAGGACTGTGGGGTCCAAATCTAGGCCTAAGGGTGAACAAAGAGCCCGACACTAAGGCTCTCTAGGAGGGGGCACATGGTTCGGGTCCTTGTTACTTTTAGCAGAGATTCCACACTAATACAGATCATGTGGTCCAGCGGTAACACTTCCTGCTCTAAACACATGCAAGACTACCCACCAGAGGCCAATCGCCGCATCCTCCCTTCTTACTATCTGTCCCTCCCACCTACTCTTCCTTCTCTGATTTCAAACCTGCCTGAATAAGTTAAAGAATACTAAGGGGCAATCTGCAATTGATACATCCATTTTTTTACTTTTAAATTAATGATGTATACCCATTAATTCTTGAAAAACATAACCAAAAAATGCCTCATGAGCTTAGTTCAACTGTCGTACCCTATCAGAAACCGAAATGAACTTTTTTTTACTCCATTGTTTGTAAACAAACACTATATAGCCTAAAAACATGGTGAAAATGATCATTTCGATCTCAAGGATGGTCAAGTCCTTGAATCCATAGATCGGTCTATGAATTTGAGAGTGGTTCCATTTCTCCTGCTCCATCCCTTAGCTGGGACCCCTTTGTTGTTGTTTTGAACTGCAGATAAAAAAAAAACATTGAGATTCTACATCCACTGTGGGCTGGTGGATCATCGTCGGGGAGAAACCAGCCCCCCTGCACCCATCCAAGGCTTTCTGATCCATATACAGTACCTTTCGTAATACTTATACAACATATTTATACACTTTTTTATGGATCAGACTGTCAGTCCAGCATGCATACATTTTAAGAATGGGTGGTCCTGGGAATCGAACCCCACAATCCTGGCAATGCAAGTGCCATGCTCTACCAATTGAGCTACAGAGGACCTCATTATGAATGCTCATACATGCTTACCTTTAAGATCTCAAAATAGTGGAGACAATGATAGACAGGTGTCAGGAGCAACCGGGGCAGGACGTACTGGACTGCTTCCTTAAAGCCTTCGCATATAGACTGGAGGGTCAGAGACAGAGCGAGATGAAGGTTAACTTGGGCAGGTAATATAGTGTCAAATCTAATCAAGGTATACAGTGGCTTGTGAAAGTATTCACCCCCCCTTGGCATTTTTCCTTTTTGCTGCCTTACAACCTGGAATTAAAATAGGTTTCTGGGGGTTTGTATCATTAATTTACACAACATGCCTACCACTTTGAAAAAGTAAAATATTTTTTATTGTGAAACAAACAAGAAATAAGACAAAAAAACTGAACACTTGCATAACTATTCACTCCCCCAAAGTCAATACTTTCTGGAGCCACCTTTAGTAGCAATTACAGCTGCAAGTCTCTTGGGGTATGTCTCTATAAGCTTGGCACATCTAGCCACTGGGATTTTTGCCCATTCTTCAAGGCAAAACTGCTCCAGCTCCTTCAAGTTGGATGGGTTCCGCTGGTGTACAGCAATCTTTAAGTCATACCACAGATTCTCTATTGGATTGAGGTATGGGCTTTGACTAGGCCATTCCAAGACATTTAAATGTTTCCCCTTAAACCACTCAAGTGTTGCTTTAGCAGTATGCTTAGGGTCATTGTCCTGCTGGAAGGTGAACCTCCGTCCCAGTCTCAAAGCTCTGGAAGACTGAAACAGGTTTCCCTCAAGAATTTCCATGTATTTAGCGCCATCCATTATTCCTTCAATTCTGACCAGTTTTCCAGTCCCTGCCGATTAAAAACATCCCCACAGCATGATGCTGCCACCACCATGCTTCACTGTGGGGATGGTGTTCTCGGGGTGATGAGAGGTGTTGGGTTTGCGCCAGACATAGCGTTTTCCTTGATGGCCAAAAAGCTCAATTTTAGTCTCATCTGACCAGAGTACCTTCTTCCATATGTCTGGGGAGTGTCCCACATGCCTTTTGGCGAACACCAAACGTGTTTGTAAATTTTTTTAATTAAGCAATGTTTTTTTTTCTGCCCACTCTTCTGTAATGCCCAGCTCTATGGAGTGTACGGCTTAAAGTGGTCCTATGGACAGATACTCCAATCTCCGCTGTGGAGCTTTGCAGCTCCTTCAGGGTTATCTTTGGTCTCTTTTTGCCTCTCTGATTAATGCCCTCCTTGCCTGGTCCTTGATTTTTGGTGGGCTGCAGGTTTGTTGTGGTGCCATTTTCAATTTTTTAATAATAGATTTAAATGGTGCTCCGTGGGATGTTCAAAGTTTCAGATATTTTTTTATAACCCAACCCTGATCTGTACTTCTCCACAACTTTGTCCCTGACCTGTTTGGAGAGCTCCTTGGTCTTCATGATGACCCTTGCTTAGTGGTGTTGCAAACTCTGGGGCCTTTCAGAACAGGTGTATATATACTGATATCATGTGACAGATCATGTGACACTTAGATTGCACACAGCTGGACTTTATTTAGATAATTATGTGACTTCTGAAAGTAATTGGTTGCACCAGATCTTATTTAGGGGCTTCACAGCAAAGGGGGTGAATACATATGCACGTACCACTTTTCCGTTATTTATTTTGTAGACTTTTTTTAAACAAGTAATTTTTTTCATTTCACTTCACCAATTTGGAATATTTTGTGTATGTCCATTACATGAAATCCAAATAAAAATCCATTTAAATTACAGGTTGTAATGCAGCAAAATAGGACAAATGCCCAAGGGGGATGAATACTTTTGCAAGGCACTGTATAGACCAGTGATAAGCAAACAGTGGTCTGGGGGGGAAATTCTTATACAAAGTTCTTACTTCAGGCAAATCCACTCCAGAAAGGGCCGATAACATTTCTAGTATCTCAGATTGTTCTGGCAATTCTCACAGGAACTTCATTGGGAGGAATGAAGGAAAAACATGGTTTTTACATTTTAATCACGGTTTTTTATTTGTTTATCATGATTAAATTGGACATTTTATGCCCTTTTTAGACCTATACATGCCTCCTGTAAGACCTTATGATCCATGAACCGTACATGATGCCAACATCTTGATGCAATTATACTCATTATAGTGTGCTCTAAAACATGGAGTATGTCTAGATTCTGAAATACAATTGTTCACATTAATTCTAATTAATACATTGGAGCACAATGACACGAAGATGTTGTCTGTATCATGTACGGTTCACAAATCAAAAAGTTCTACACAAGGCATGTATAGGTCTAAAAAGGGCTTAAAATGGCCACTTTCAATTTGATTTTCAAAACAAAAAATGCGATACAAATGTAAAAAGCATGAGAGAATGCCAAGTGTGTGCAAAGCTGTCATCAAGGCAAAGGTTGGGTATTTGAAGAATCTCAAATATAAAATATATTTTGATTTGTTTAACACTTTCTTGGTTACTACATGATTCCATATGTTATTTCATAGTTTTGATGTCTTCACTATTATTCTACAATGTAGAAAATAGTAAAAATAAAGAAACACTTTTGAATGAGTAGGTGTTGTAAAACATTTGACCGGTAGTGTAAATAGCACGTGATTAATAATATTTGTAGTACACGGTTAATTACATTCCATCAGAGCAACCCCTAACTTTCTTAAAATATAATTTGAATACATCAGTTGTTTACAATGTTTCCTATGACAACAACAACATAAACAATGGCGTAATCAAGCCTGACTTTTGGGGTTATGATAAGGCTGGGGGGTGTGGCCTCTGACCTGAAGGTAAAAGGCAGCTCCCGGTTTAGACAGCTGGCTGAGGAAGTGATCGTGGAAGCCAGTCCGCAGGATGTCTTGAGCATACGTCTCGTAGGGGTCGAAGGCCAGCTCCTGGAAATAAAAAAGAAAGATGTATCAAATGTCATGTTTTATAACAGTCGTGCTGCTGACACTGGCCACAGCCATAGGGTGTAAGTGGGGTCTGTGAATGTCAAGTAACCTAAGCCCAGGACGCTCGGCTGAGCTTTTTCGTGCAGTCGTGCATTTTCAGACACAGGTGTTAGTGTTACAGAAGTGGTTCAGTGAACCACACTTGTGTAATGAGCAACCTTGCCTGGTACCTGAAGACTCATGTTAGCTCCCCAAGCTAATGCCTAGGCTTTAGCTCAGTCTTTTGGTGCCCAGGAGCAATTTCTATGCAGAAACAGCACACACACCCACACAATATATATGCACGTAAACACACATATCCCCACAAACACACACTTTTTTGCAGACAAAGCAATTTCTTAACACAGACAGCTTCACACACACATGCATAACAATCCCCCCCAACCACACACCTACTTTAGCCAGGTCTTTGAAGCAGCTGCCCACCACAAACAAGCTGGGCTCCCATAAACACCACACACGCACCGACACTCCCAACCCTCCACAAACACACACCCACCTCGGCCAGGTCTTCAAAGCAGCTGCCCACAAGCGGGTGTGGGCTCCCCTCGTCTGTCATCTCCACCGTGTCTTCAATGAGGCCCAGCAGCTTGAGGGTGACCTCGTGGATGTCCACGATGCGGCTGAAGATGTTCTCCACGTCCTGCAAGGGTTGTAGAGAGAGAGAGAGAGAGAGAGAGAGAGAGAGAGAGAGAGAGAGAGAGAGAGAGAGAGAGAGAGGAGAGAGAGAGAGAGAGAGAGAGAGAGAGAGAGAGAGAGAGAGAGAGAGAGAGGAGAGAGAGAGAGAGAGAGAGAGAGAGAGAGAGGAGAGGGAGAGAGAGAGAGAGAGAGAGAGAGAGAGAGAGAGACGGGTGGGAAGAGGGTGATAGAGAGATAGGTGGAAGAGGGAGATGGGGAGCAGTGTAATGCAGGAAGGTGGCAGAAGAGAAGTGAGAGAGTGGTGGTTGAGGGGAGAAAAGGAGTGGAAAAATACCAAAGTAGAGTCAAACAAAGCCATGATGGAAGACCATCGCTGAACACGTGTGTGCAGGTGTGTGTGAGAGTCTACCTCATCAACCACCATCACTACTCACATGGTGGGAGAATAGCATGGCGTTGGAGGCGAAGGGCTCGCGGAACACCTTGATGATGAGGTTAAGGTCGCGCAGGTACTGTCGGACCTCGGCCATGAAGGTCTTGACCAGGTCGTAGTAGGTCTGCTCCTCGCTGGTGGATGGCTCCTCGTCCATCAGGGGGAAACCGCTGATGTCCTCCTCGTCCTGGTGGAACATGTCCATCAGAACCTGGAAATGGGGAAAAGAGGCCAGGCATATTCTTACCAATTACAAAAAAAAAAAAGAGTGTTATAGACCACTTTTAATAGGTTTAATAGTCACACAGAGAGGGACAACAGCATAGAGACCAGGTTGGAGTCAATTCCATTTTAGTTCAGTCAATTCAGGGAGTCAACTGAAATTCCGATTCCAATTTTCTTCAGTCATTTTCTGTAAAGAAAATGTGGAATTGGAATTTCAGTTTACTTCCTGAATTGAGATGGATCCTGAGAGACCCAAGCGTAGAAACACACACACACACAGGCGTACAAAGGCAAGCACACATTCTCGCTCATTCAGCTGGCATTCTTCATCAGCTTATGTTCAGAAATGAGCCTATGGACTCCAGCTTTAGGTATATTGGCCAGTCAGTGTGGTTGCTGGGTCTTCTCACTATCACACACCACCAGCCATAGCATTTACAAGCCAATCTAATTTCATATTCAAAGCAACATAAAAAAGGGGCAATCTGGGATTGGTACAGGCATTGAATCTAGAAGAATAACACTTATATAACTATAAATAGTTTTTTGCTACATATGGCCAGTGATGTCCTGCTGGGAGATCTCATAGTATCGGATGTTGAAGACCCACAATACATTGTGACGCACAACATAGGCGTTACTCTCACCTTATCGGCACACATGGCCACGGTGATGTCCTGCTGGGAGATCTCGTAGTGGCGGATGTTCCTCACGTAGTTCCCTGCCAGCTTCAGGATGTCTGCTGAGATGTACTCCAACACCGCCACGATGTACACCGACACCTGGTGGTCAATCTTGTACCCTAGTACCTCCTGAACAAGGGAGAGGAATTATGGGAAAAGTAGTCCACAATGTACATGTACACCTACTGTACTGGTGGTCGATCTTGTACCCTAGTGCCTCCTAAACAAGGACCCAGGAAGAGAGGAATCATCGGGAAATGAATCATGGGTAAAAGCAGGGTCAGTGTGGTTTGACTACTGTACAGTCTGACCACTGTACTTTCGAACTAATGTAAACGGTGTAGGCCTAAATAGTACACAGTATGCAGAATGTGCAGGGTAAGAATGCCTTTATGCGTTTTAGTTACAGGTACACATCATTGAACAGCAATTGGGCACAATAGGTACTTTAATACGAATTAAGTAATGTGAGATGGTTATGCAAGGTAATTAGCTTTGAATGATGTCAATCAAGTAATTATGTTGTTGCTCCACATCAATGTATATGTGTATTTCTAAAAGAAAGAGCACTTGGAGCTCAGAGCAAAAAAGGTCTAAAGAATATAAGTGGAATATTCTTATCAAGTACCCAAAAAGAGACCCGTTTTTAAAAGGTTGCTTGGTCCCTCATAAAGCATCTATATGGTTAGGTGTTAGTTAGCATTCTAAAATGTAAAGCCTATCATTCCTTATTTAAAGGGACAATAGGTGAAAGAATACAAAAAGGTGTAAAAGTGCAAAAAGTTTAGGTCTTTCAGAACATTAACCTTTTGTATTATTTGAAGCATGATCTAAATTAAGTAAATCTTCGCATCTCGGCCTCCTTGGAATTTTCCTTTCCATGGTTTGAGTGCGAGTACCTTTTGACTCTACAGCCACCATTCATTCTAGCCTGAGCGCAAACCCTCATACTGGCTTTCTACAATTCTCCATAACTTGCTACATTTGCACACACTGTATATATATTCTCTGTTGTATTTTTTGACTTTATGTTTTTTTTAACCCATATGTAACTCTGTGTTGTTGTTTTTATCGCACTGCTTTGCTTTATCTTGGCCAGGTCGCAGTTGTAAATGAGAACTTGTTCTCAACTGGCTTACCTGGTTAAATAAAGGTGAAATAAAATAAAAATAAATAAAATACCCATCCCACAGCTTTTTACCAAAACGTTGTTATTGTTTGTGACCAATTCCACAAAACAGTTCAACGTCTCCCTCTATTGGTCAGTATAGGTACTGTGAGAAAAGTGGCCAATACCTTTCCTCGGGCTGTGTTCAGTAGGCACTGAAACAGAAACCATTTTTGGACAAAGAAAACACAAAATGTCTATTTTGTTTATTGAATCGCTTTAAATGCAGTTCAATAAATTATTTTGTCTGCTTCATAATATTTTCACTTTCTGAAGTGTAGAGAACAGATCTCAGTAACTGGGCCCTGTTCAGGTAGATGTAACGTTACAACACTTTCAGATATACTGTGTAGAACAGCCAGAATGAAGGAATAAATGAATATATGACAGACAGTCCTATTTGCAACATTTAGGACTTTTTACCGTGCCTTCAGAAAGTATTCACACCCTTTGACTTTTTCCACATTTTGTTGAATTTTGATTTTGTGTCACTGATCTATCCACAATACCCCATAATGTCAAAGTGGAATTATGTTTTTAGAAATGTTTACAAATTAATAGAACATTTAAAGCTGAAATGTCTTGAGTCAATAAGTATTTAACCCTTTTGTTATGGCAAGCCTAAATAAGTTCAAGTAAAAATGTGCTTAACAAGTCACATAATAAGTTGCATTGACTCACTGTGTGCAATAATAGTGTTTAACATGATTTTTAAATGAGTACCCCATCTCTGTACCCCACACATACAATTAGTAAGGTACCCCAGTCGAGTACTGAATTTCAAGCAGATTCAACCACAAAGAACAGCGAGGTTTTCCAATGGTTCGCAAAGAAGGGCACCTATTGGCAGATGGGTAAAAAAAAGCAGACATTGAATATCCCTTTGAGCATGGTGGTTATTAATTACACTTTGGATGGTGTATCAATACACACAGTCACTACAAAGATACAGGCGCCCTTCCTAACTCAGTTGCCGGAGAAGAAGGAAATCGCTCAGGGATTTCACCATGAGGCCAACTGTGATTTTAAAACAGTTACAGAGTTTAGGGCTGTGATAGGAGATACTGAGGATGGATCAACATTGTAGTTACTCCACAATGCTAACCTAAATGACAGAGTGAAAAGAAGGAAGCCTGTACAGAATATAAATATTCAAAAACATGCATCCGGTTTGCAGTAAGGCCCTAAAGTAATACTGCACGCAATGTTGCAAAGAAATTAACTTTATGTCCTGAATACAAAGCGTTATGTTTTGGGCAAATCCAAGACATCAGAGTACCACTCTTCATATTTTCAAGCATGGTGGTGGCTGCATCATGTTATGGGTATGCTCATCTCCGGCAAGGGAGATTTTTAAATAAAAAGAATATAGGAATATAGTTAAGCACAGGCAAAATCCTAGAGGAAAACTTGGTTCAGTCTGCTTTCCAACAGACACTGGGAGAAACATTTATATTGTACAATCCAGGTGTCCAAAGCTCTTAAGAGACTTACCCAGAAAGATTCACAGCTGTAATGGCTGCAAAAGGTGATTCTAACATGTATTGACTCAGGGGGTTAAATACTTATCTAATCAAGATATTATGTTTTACTTTGACAAGAGTATTTTGTGTAGGTCCTTGACAACAAATGACAAATCCATTTTAATCCCACTTGTAACACAATTTTTTGGGGAAAAAGACAAGGGGTGTGAATACTTTCTGAAGGCACTGTACATCACTGAATACACCCTGCTGTTTCCTCAAAATGGCTCACAGCCTGACTAATTTACTGGGTGCTGAAGACCTAGGCTACATGCTGACCTTACAGGTCGCTTCACTATGATTGGTCTAGCCACCAGGGTCATGTTCAGTAGGCACAAAAGTTTAGAAACAGCAATGTACTACCTGAAAGAAGGGTCCAACGTTAACTTTTTTTTTGCTGAGCACTTCTTTTCACTCTGGACAGCTCATGTGTGCCGTGTGAAGGCATCAACTCAACTCATGTACTGCTCGAGTGCGCAGAAAGTTGTGACTCGCGAGGAGCGTGGTTGAATGAACGGCCAATCATTTTGCTCAAATACAAATATCATGACTTTTCCGTGTGTAGTCTTCAATGGTTTTCAATGGCAGACTGCAACACTGCAGGTAAACTGGAACGACAAAATGCGCTGAGAAGATACTGGCCCATTTGGGCCAGTCACTGGCCCAACATGTTTTTACTGGCCAGCAGGCCATCATTAATGTCGGATCCTGCTGAAAGTGTTCAGTAAGAAACGTTCATTTTCGTTTTCCATTTCAAATCGCTTCGCCCTACTGAACATGACCCAGACGTTTGGGATTGTGGGTTACCTTGAGCAGCGGGTGGATCTTATCCACGGGCAGGGCCAAAGGATTCCTCCTCTTCCTCTTTTCGATGGCCGCCTGGGCGTCGGCGATAGCCCATTTATCGATAGGATGAGGGAAACTCTTCTGCACTCGCTCCTGAGGGGAGGAAAGGAGGGAAGGATTGAGGGAGATCGAAAGTCCTTTAATAGTGCACTACTTTTAACCAGAGCTCTATGGGCCCTTGTCAAAAGTAGTGGACTAAATAGGGAATAGGGTGCCATTTGGGATGCAGCCTTACTTATCTCTTATTTACTTAAATTACATATTTCCTGGTACTCTATTGATGCTGCATCCATAGGCAAAGCAAACATGCCTCCTCCTCCTTCAAACTGTCCTATGACACTTCACAACACTTGACATAAGCATTTCCATGCATTCACCATTGTTTTATTGTCGCAGACGTTTCACATGGGACTTTTCCCTTAAAAGGGACATCTAACAGGTTATGTCAATGGGAGGGCGGGTGTACGAATGCTTTCGACTGTACATGTCAAGTGTCATGTCACACTTCCGCTGCAGGCACTACCAAGATGTCCCTTGACGTACGAGTTAGGCTAAGAGTTACTGTAGCCCTTCAAAAATGGTGAGAACTACAAAATACATCCACAGTTAACGCATGACACCTTCATAAGCACTACATAAACATTCATAAGTGCTTATGTCAACAACTTCAGGTTGACATAGGCTTTCTGAGGCCTAGGCATTTACAAATGTTTGTGTTGTATATTAGAGGGTATCAAACATTACAATATACACAAGCACAAATTAGTGTGGTCAGTTACCAACCCAGGCAGGTCAAGGGTTAAAAAGGATGCGCAGGTCAAGGGTTAAAGTTCATACAGACAGGGTCACAGGGAGAGGTCAGAGAGCACAGAACTAAGGGAGGAGTAAACATGGTAAAAAGAGACCACATATCCGTGGTTCGACTTTACCATGCCCCATGACTAGGGCCATGGGCCCTAAAAAGCACCTGCGGATTTCATGTGATCCGTCTGCTCGCAAAAATGAGTCAAGGTGGACAAAACAAAAACAAAAGCAAGAGGTGAAAACAGGTTGGCCATCTAAAACATGGACTGAACAAAGCAAGATTTCAGATGTTTTCTGCATTAGCTCATGTCAGTTATTACAGAAAAGCAAAAAGCAACACAGTAGTAGTAGCCATTAGTGTGATGATGTGCAAGAAAACATTATCCTGTTCAATGACATAAAACCAAACAAGAACTAAAAAGGTAATCATATTCTAAATATATATGAGACTGTTGGGAGTTCTGTTGAAATTATTGTCAAAGTAATGAGTCAAAATACATGTCTGCAAATAGCTTAACTTTTCTACCGGTCACTATATCTCAGTGCAAAACAAACCGTCTAAAGAACATCACGATCTGAGCTTAAAAGATCTGATCATAAAACACTGATCATTTCCCCTTTTTGTGAGGGCACCTAAATCAACAACCTCTTTTACTGCAACCCTGACGTCACCAGCTGTCATTAAAAAAATGTGTCTGCTACAGAATAAAATGTAGCTGAATGCTATGATATGCTGTGACTGTGAGGGAAATTAAAAGAGGCAATCCGCAGTAGAAACAATGACAAAGCGGACTCCCCGCCCCTGGTTTGGGATGGGGCTGGAGAAATGTAACCACTCTCAAATTCATAGACAGAGCTATGGATGCAAGGACTGGCCATCAATGATACCAAAATTATAGTTTGTTTACAAACGTTGGAGTAAAACAAGCTTATATTTTGGGTTCTGATAGGGTATGACAGTTGAACTAAGGTCATGAGGCATTTATAAGTTATATTCTTCAAGAATGAATGTGTACAAATCATTAATTTATAAGTCCATAAATGGATACACACTGAACAAAAATATAAAACGCAACATGCAACAATTTCAAAGATTCTACCGAGTTACAGTTCATATAAGGAAATCAGCTAATTTAAATAAATTAGGCCCTAATCTATAGATTTCACATGACTGAGAATACAGATGTGCATCTGTTGGTCAAAGATGCCTTAAACAAAATGTTGGGGTGTAGATCAGAAAACCAATCAGTATCTGGTGTGACCACCATTTGCCTCATGCAGCGCGACATCTCCTTCGCATAGAGTTTATCAGGCTGTTGATTGTGGCCTGTGGAATGTTGTCCCACTCCTCTTCAATGGCTGTGCAAAGATGCTGGATATTGGCGAGAACTGGAACACACTGTCGTACACGTTGATCCAGAGCATCCCAAACATGCTCAATGGGTGACATGTCTTGTATTCAGGCCATGGAAGAACTGGGACATGTTCAGCTTCCAGGAATTGTGTACAGATCCTTACGACATTGGGGCCGTGCATTATCATGCTGAAACATGAGGTGATGATGAATATCACGACAATGGGCCTCAGGATCTCGTTATGGTATCTCTATGCATTCAACTTGCCATCGACGAAATGTAATTGTGTTCGTTGTCCGTAGCTTATGCCTGCCCATACCATAACCCCACCATGAGGCACTCTGTTCACAACGTTGACATTAGTAAACAGCTCGCCAAACATGACGCCATCTGCCGGGTACAGTTGAAACCGGGATTCATCCGTGAAGAGCCAGTGGCCATCGAAGGTGAGCATTTGTCCATTGAAGTTGGTTACGACGCCAAACTGCAGTCAGGTCAAGACCCTGGTGAAGACGGTGACCATGCAGATGAGCTTCCCTGAGACAGTTTCTGACAGTTTGTGCAGAAATCCTTCGGTTGTGTAAACCCACAGTTTCATCAGCTGTCTGGGTGGCTGGTCTCAGACGATCCTGCAGGATGTGGAGGTCCTGGGCTGGCGTGTTTACACGTGGTCTGCGTTTTAGAGTGGCTTTTTATTGTCCCCAGCACAAGGTGCACTTGTGTAATGATCATGTTGTTTAATCAGCTTCTTGATATGCCTCACCTGTCAGGTGGATGGATTATCTTGACAATGGAGAAACGCTCACTAACAGGGATGTAAACAAATTTGAAGAGAAATACGCTTCTTGCGCGTATGGAAAATGTCTGGGATCTTTTATTTCAGCTCATGAAACATGGGACCAACATTTGACATGTTGCGTTTATATATTTTTGTTCAGTGTAGCAACTGCTGATCGCCCCTTTACGTAAAAGTAGCCCCTAACCACTGGTCCAGGGTCAGTCTATTTCCCAGACGATAGGTTAAAGTGACGATCAGGGGAACAGTAGTCTGATCCTAGACCGGTGGTTTAGAAGCAACTTCTACCTCGCCATAGTTAATTGATGTGTTTGTTGTTGATGCCCTGAGGGACTCTGAAAGGTAAAGTCTGCTCACTGTTTTGCTGCTCCCAAACGGGATCCTTTAATACAACTTCGACAACACAATCACAACGATTCAACTTAATTGTGATTGAAATGTTGTGATTTTATCACCTGGGCCTAAGCTTTAGTAAAATATCACATGTGAGGGCAAAACAACACTGAGCACACATTCCCTTTTACTCTATGTATTGGACCTTTTTGTCCAAAGCTCCTGTTATTGTTTTGGAAGTGTGTAAAACCCCCGCTGTTTATACTCTGTAAAAATGGGAGTCGACAAGGTTTTAGGTCCAGACACTGTTGCGTTATTGACACCGATCCTCACCTCCACGTCCTGCACGCTGCGTGGCTGTGCCTGGCAGAGCATGCTGAGTAGCAGTAGGATCAGCTCCTCGATGTACTGCAGCGCCTCCTCCTGGGACGACAGCTTGGGATGCACCTGGCTCAGCACCTTCACAGAGACAGAGATGTGTATTAGTTCAGTATGAGTTGATAAAAAAAATTAATCAACTCATACTGAATGTGGTAAACATGTATTAGTTCAGTATAGGTTGTGTTGATTATCTTTTTTTTTTTTTTATCAACTGTTAAAAAGCTTGGGGTGCATCTGGCTCAGCACCTTTACACAGAAACTAAGAGAGATGTGGCTAGGCTACTAGTTCAGTATAGGTTCCCGCTGGGCCCAACCTGGTTGAATCAATGTTGTTTCCATGTAATGGAATCAACGTGGAAAACTGATTGGATTTGCAAAAAGTCATCAACGTAAAGGAATTTAGAGACGTTTTGTATTTTTTTCACCCAACTTTGAACCTAAATCCAATGACACAGTTAAAATGTTTGTTGATTTCACATTAGTTAACAACTCAAATGTAAATCAAAACTAGACGTTGAACTGACGTCTATGTTAAAAAATATATACAACTGTTCAAAACCTTGGGGTGCAACTGGAGAGACATGTTCTGGTTTAGTATAGTTTGGGTGTTTTCACACTTGGTCCCATTCAGACAATTTTTGTGAACTCAGTGCGGTTCGCTTAATTTTTTGTGCAGTGTGAACGGACAATCTGACAATGCACTGAATTTACGAACACCAAGTACTAAGTCATGTTTTGCAGAGGGGTCAAATACTTATTTCCCTCATTAAAATGCAAATCAATTTATAACATTTTTGACATGTGTTTTTCTGGATTTTCTTGTGTTATTCTGTCTCTCACTGTTCAAATAAAGCTACCATTAAAATTATAGACTGATCATGTCTTTGTCAGTGGGCAAACATACAAAATCAGCAAATACTTTTTACCCCTCACTGTAGAAGAGCTCAGAGAGCAAAGTGAAACTATCATTTGTAGTATATCCAAAACAGGTGTGGAGTGTCACCTGCTTGTGAGAATCACCAAAGTGAACTGCCTGAATTTCACTGGTATATTTACACAGGTAGTTCTCTGCAAAGTCAATATGCACGATGATATCCTCTTTCTGCAGATTCTCTTTTAATTCTCTCAGTTTGGAGTATTGGTGTTGAATGTTGTGTAAGTGTTTCCCCAACTTCTCTTTCAATCCTTTGGAGAAGTCCTCCAGTAGAACCTGCAGTGTGCCACATACCTTTTCTTTTACCGCCAAATGTACAGTGAACGTCTCCATGTTTACCGCTTTGTTTTTCTTCTCTCTCTTCAGCTTTGTTTTCCCACTCAAACCACCATGTCTGCTCACCAGCATCAAAGTCAGATGTTTAAGCGCTTTTGCTTGGCAAAAGGAGCACTGTGTCCATGGACTCTTTCTTCAGGTTCTCACAGCACAAAGACTCAATAAGGTTCTCAATGTTGTTGCAGCTGATCACTTTGTGATACTGTAGTTTGTGTGCCATGAACTGGAGGTTGGCGTGGGTTTTGCAGAGGCATGTGTCACTATCCAAGACCGTTGCTTGACAACCCAAAAAGGACATATTTTACAGAATTCATAGTAGGACATTTGAATCTCAAAATATTCCCTCTTAAACTTCTGATAAAAGTTCTGAATTGCCCAATTCAAGAAGCACTTCAGCTTTTTTTTTCTTGTTCCTTGTTAGTGTGTCCTTTTCCCCTGTTGTTGCTCTACTGTTGTCATCACGTTCATAGATTTTCTCTTCTGTGGCTGTGCTAATTCTGTTACACTGCTTTTTCCTGGAGTAATGAAGAAGTGTTGGCCTGTTTTCTTTTGCCCTCATTACTTTTGTTGAAAATTCTCTTTGACTAGGCAGTACTTTCTCAGGATGTTGCCTCTGAGCATTTTTGAAGCCACTTTTTTGTCCTTGGTGCTGCGCATGTTTTGATACTTTCGCTTTAACTTTGAAATGATGGCATTTTGAAACAATAGTTCCCTTCACTTGCTGTTCTGTCTTTGGGGAATTTTGTCTTTGGGGAAACCTTTTTGTTTTTCTCAGCTTTCCGGAAAGCATTATCAAGTTTGACATTTGTCATGCAAAGATCTCTGTATGTTTTTGAGCGACCTCTTCCAACCTTTTTCCTTCCATTAAGTATTCGACTTGTCATTCCTCTTGCAGACGATGGGGAAGGGGTATCAGGGCGTGCATCAGCGGCAGGTAAGTTAGGGGCAGGTATGTTGCCCTCTGGCTGCAAGTCATCTGGTGACTGAGGTGGTGTGTTGCCTGATAGGTAGGTCTTCTATTCCGTTGGTTGCATTTCCATTGCCTTCTCTTGCTTCTTGGTCCTCGCTTTGTAAGCTTAGAGATAGATTTCACTTCTCCCTTCTCTTTTTCTTCCAGTATCTCTCCCTGTCTGTTTGCAGATGTTCCTGGTATCGTATAGGATAATGTTTTTGTTTTGTTTCTATGTCTGTGACCTCTGTGCTGTTTTATGTGGCATCTTCTAAAAACCAAGAAAAATACTACTTAGTTTTCAACTTGTGCACACCGTCGAGCATTTTCTAGATTAAATTAATTAAAAACATGATTAAATAAGCTTAAAATTAAAAAAACATAATGGATTTTTGTCATTTCCACCACGTTCTGTCATTTCCACCACAGTTAAAAGTTTGTGATGGAAATGACTGATTTCTTCTACAGTTTTTTGAGAAAAATGACAGGCTATTTAGTATGCTTTGGCTAGTATTACAACTAGCATATAGTTTACACTAAATACATAGAATATACACATTTTTACAAAATTCTACCACAAATTAAAGAAATTTAACAAATTACTGACAATAAAAATATTCTCTACACAAGCAATATTTACCTAGATTTTTCTTCAACTTCTAGACATCACATCTGGAACAACTGTCTGCTGCAGCCATTCGCTTCAGTGACACAATAAGTTTCCATGCTAATAACTAAGTTAACATTCTCTTGAAAAAACGTTATTAATGAGGAATTTGTCCTCAGTGGTGGAAATGACACCACTACCAAAGGACAGGCATATTTTGTGTAAAAAACAAAGGGCATGCTCACAATAAATATTGATATAGATTTTATTTCATCGACTCTTTCTCTAGTAGATAACATTATATAAATGTGTAATTATTCATGTTCTCTCATAGAAAAACATAGAAGTTCAAAAGTCTGGTCAGGGACAAGGTTAAAACAGTTGAATTGAGGTATAAATGCATCTGCAAAGTAGCTAAAATACTTGATAGAGAAGAGTTTAAAAAGTCTGGGGTGATTGTAGTGTGAACTTAACATGTAAAGAATACAAACATTGAAATTAAATCCTAAAAATGTACCCAGAGGACATAGAAGTGCCCGTAGTTGCAGAATCACCCATCTACAGAAATAAGACAGATCCTGCTTCTGTTGCCTGTTTGAGTGTTCGGTTGATAGCCTACTGATTCCGTGAGCACCAAGCCTCATGCAACAATTTCACAGATGTCTGTTTTTAAACTTTGCTATGCTGTAATAAAGGCTTTACACTTTTTTTTCATTAAGACCTGCCTCTGGTATTATTTACCATTTATTTAGTGTTGTTTAGACTGTTCCAAATGGTCTGAAAAATTATATTTATAAAACTAATAACCCTCCTTTTTCCTTGATCTCCTTATTTTTATTATTACTATTATGATCATCATTATAATAATAACTAATGTCATTATCATTAGTAGGCTTAGTATATCAGTCTTGTATAACCACCATCGAGCTGTAGGCCTAAGAGCGCATACTGTTTAGTCTTAGTACCGTTACTTACTTAGGCCTATATTTCAATACTTATATAGGCTACTGTCTCAATCAATCATTTGTTCATGTCATCACACATCATACGAGTCATTCATGATGTGAAATGCAATCAAGCATTTTAGTTTTTAAATAAAATAACAAAGCGACCATTGAATTAGCGTAAACAATAAATAGGCCTAAACCATTCCACTTCGGAAATTGCATTCACAAATGAGTGCGCTGTTTAGTCTTTGCTGTAATAAAGGCTTTACAAAAAACATTACAGACTCGCTTGTACACTTATAATTTATTTAGTGTTGTTTAGATTGTTCCAAATGGTCATAAAAATTATATTGTAATCTAACAGCACCTGTTTGGCACACATAGGCCTAATTTGCATGCAGCGCTTGTTCCATACCTTATTTTTCTTGATATCCAGTATTTTCCACAACTAGTCAAATGTATTCCACACATCTGACTTCCCCTTTACCTCATGCCCAACCAGCAAACATTCACCTGTTTTTCATAAACAAATTAGGGATTTCGGTAACATAACTTTTCAGTCAGAAATGGCTGTAATTAGGTTGCAGCTTCAGCAACACGGACATCCCTATACACACTGATGTTCTGTGGTGGTCGCTGCAGCAGGGAGGAGAGCGAGACAACGGGAGCACAGTCACTCGCTGTCTTTTTCAGCCAGGCTTCACAATCAAATCAATTTCGGTTGGACTCCCTCTAGTCTTAATTATTTAATCAAACAGTTCGCTTAAAGCATCAGACAAGCTCAGTGCATATAGTTGATTTGATTGAAACACATATGGAAAAACACACGTTTAAAATGTTTGACCAATCGATTGGTCGAAAGAACAGAAAACAGTTATTTATTTTTTGTCGGGGACAGCCCTACTATTTTTGACTGATGACTGATATAAGGGCATGTACGTGGTAGGCCTATCTGGCTTATATGATTATGGTGGTCATAATGCTTCATGACAGTGTCATACAGTGGGGAAAAAAAGTATTTAGTCAGCCACCAATTGTGCAAGTTCTCCCACTTAAAAAGATGAGAGAGGCCTGTAATTTTCATCATAGGTACACGTCAACTATGACAGACAAAATGAGGGGGAAAAAATCCAGAAAATCACATTGTAGGATTTTTAATGAATTTATTTGCAAATTATGGTGGAAAATAAGTATTTGGTCAATAACAAAAGTTTCTCAATACTTTGTTATATACCATTTGTTGGCAATGACACAGGTCAAACGTTTTCTGTAAGTCTTCACAAGGTTTTCACACACTGTTGCTGGTATTTTGCCATTCCTCCATGCAGATCTCCTCTAGAGCAGTGATGATCTCCTCTAGAGCAGTGATGTTTTGGGGCTGTCGCTGGGCAACACGGACTTTCAACTCCCTCCAAAGATTTTCTATGGGGTTGAGATCTGAAGACTGGCTAGGCCACTCCAGGACCTTGAAATGCTTCTTACGAAGCCACTCCTTCGTTGCCCGGGCAGTGTGTTTGGGATCATTGTCATGCTGAAAGACCCAGCCACGTTTCATCTTCAATGCCCTTGCTGATGGAAGGAGGTTTTCACTCAAAATCTCACGATACATGGCCCCATTCATTCTTTCCTTTACATGGATCAGTCGTCCTGGTCCCTTTGCAGAAAAACAGCCCCAAAGCATGATGTTTCCACCCCCATGCTTCACAGTAGGTATGGTGTTCATTGGATGCAACTCAGCATTCTTTGTCCTCCAAACACGACGATGTGAGTTTTTACCAAAAAGTTCAATTTTGGTTTCATCTGACCATATGACATTCTCCCAATCCTCTTCTGGATCATCCAAATGCACTCTAGCAAACTTCAGACGGGCCTGGACATGTACTGGCTTAAGCAGGGGGACACGTCTGGCACTGCAGGATTTGAGTCCCTGGCGGCGTAGTGTGTTACTGATGGTAGGCTTTGTTACTTTGGTCCCAGCTCTCTGCAGGTCATTCACTAGGTCCCCCCGTGTGGTTCTGAGATTTTTGCTCACCGTTCTTGTGATCATTTTGACCCCACGGGGTGAGATCTTGCGTGGAGCCCCAGATCGAGGGAGATTATCAGTGGTCTTGTATGTCTTCCATTTCCTAATAATTGCTCCCACAGTTGATTTCTTCAAACCAAGCTGCTTACCTATTGCAGATTCAGTCTTCCCAGCCTGGTGCAGGTCTACAATTTTGTATCTGGTGTCCTTTGACAGCTCTTTGGTCTTGGCCATAGTGGAGTTTGGAGTGTGACTGTTTGAGGTTGTGGACAGGTGTCTTTTATACTGATAACAAAATTCAAACAGGTGCCATTAATACAGGTAACGAGTGGAGGACAGAGGAGCCTCTTAAAGAAGAAGTTACAGGTCTGTGAGAGCCAGAAATCTTGCTTGTTTGTAGGTGACCAAATACTTGTTTTCCACCATAATTTGCAAATAAATTCATTAAAAATCCTACAATGTGATATTCTG